AGCAGGTACAAACGCTATGAATACCCGCAGTTTCTTTAGTAAGTATTCATTTTAATCTGATTCATTATACGCACAGTAAAAATATGAATTCTCGGCAGTTCTTCGTCACGTTCGGATGACCTGGTTGTTAATTATTCGGAATGTGACACACGCGGTACCACCTAAAAATACCGGTCACCTATTGTACAGCGCCGTTGTATATGCAATTTGTATATGTCCACCAAGCGGAAATATCCGCGCGCGCATTACGTGACCTCTTCCACATGACTGCCTAATGGAGACGCGCGCGCTCTGTTATGCTGGCCATTTCATGTATATATACACACTGCCGCGAAGTGCGCAGTAGAGCAGAAGAAACGAGCCTAAGAACCCTCGACACCGGCACTTGGATGCTTCGTTCCGCAGTAATGGCGCTGTTGTGGCGAACGCGAAGGCGCGCGCACTTAGAATGGAGCATTCGTACAATGATGTGTAGATGTGCCGTACAATTCGTGATGTATCTGCCCTTTTTAATTACGACGACCATCGAGATGGGCCGTTAATGACCATCCATGCACAACGGATATAGCCGAGCATTCCAGCATCCTCCACCCCGCGACGACCATTACCGGCGCTGCAGTGACCCCTTGGCAGACATCAAGAACATCTTATTGCGCCGTGAAGGGGCTGGCTGGGTAAATAATCGCCCCCATCACTTGGCGAGACGCTAATCAACGCAGATGACTGTATTGTCAAGTAAACCTTAAGATGCTTTCGTGTTTGTTTGCGACGACCGGCTGGAGTGTTCATTAAGGAGCATTATCAAACAGAAAACACATTTTACAACTGTTAACTGTTGCAAAGTAATAACGCCGGGTCAGCCGGGCATATATGTTTGTGGTTTAAAGGGAAGCTGCAATAAAAAATGATGCATAAAAGAGAATAAAATTCAAAATGCTTGTTTTGCGTACTCAGTCAAGAATTTATATGTTTTACTTTATCATTATTTTTTGTTACTCTCTGCACTGCTATATGTAGCTTTTGCGCAACTCTCGACAACTATGATGCAATAAAACTTTTACAAATATCAAAGGATTTTCCATTCCATTTATTTTGCAGTCAGCTAGTGTTACGCAAAATTAATATTGCAGATCTAGGATCACAAAAATAAAAAGCAAAGAATAAAAGACCATGCACATCTAGCTGACATTAATATGTTGTCTACAGATGATTGCGGTGTAGTTTAGTGGCAGCTAACATTCCGAAGTTGAAGTGTTTTATTTCGGGTATGGGTCTTATTCGGGGATGACAATCTAATAGTTTGCTTATGTGCTAACTTTGTGAAAGCTGCTTAATTGTACTATTTGCTCAACTTTTTTGTAGTGTCGGATGGGTCGGTAAGGTCTCACACGAACAACCAATTTTTGTTTAAATTTAAGTGCAGCATGTGTGACAGCGCCGAAATGCATGAATGGTGCACTCCAGCAAAACAATGCCAGGACAATTGTCACTAAAACCAAGGTGTAAAGTTATGTACACAAGAATTCTTTATAATATTAACGCCGATTTTTAATACCCGCAATATCGTTGTGCACAAGCAATACGGCTTGTTTTACAATGTTACATATATGCACGATCGCGACATGCGAACCAGTGAATCACCATCAAACAAATTGACCTTTCCATCCAGCTGCTCATCAACTACATGTATTAGAAACCAACATTCGCTCGCTTATATCTGCAGTCTGAATCCGTAAACCCCACAGTGTCAACCGCGATACCGCAGAATAAAATCGTTGGAAATGACAACGTTGGCTACAGCCGTCATTAGCAGACGGCGGATTTCGCAGTGTTAAGCAGGCAGCACTCCGATTAGCAAGCACCTATCCACCACCTGCCGGCACTTCAGGGAACTAAGGGAAGTCTCTCAAGAGGCCAGTTTGACTGACATCCAGCAGCTCCATATATACCGGCTATGGTGCTCGTTGTAATCCCTGGTCGGAATCTGTCATTTTCGACAGATCCATCCGCGCTAACCTGAACCGACACAACGGCACCCGCGGCACACGACTGACATATTTACATACTGGACGGATTTCCAAACACTATACCAACCCCGTTTAAAACAGCTACAAAATTTTAGTTACAAACGTTGCCACTTGGATCTTGCTAAAAAGACGAAAAATTTGACAATCACTGCAGCACCAAAAAAAAATATCCAGCCACACCAAAGCGTTTTGAGTTTGCCTCAGAAATATTATTCATAAAACAAGTTCTGCAAAATATTCGCTCACCGATTTTTCAACCGAAACTTCTGTTTTTCATATTGTATAAGTTGGAATACATCAGAGACAAGTTGTACCGTTACTGAATGCCTTTTGCGCAGAACGACCTTTGCATGACCTCACAAACATTTTCTCTTTTGAGAAAAAAAGGGTGCGGGCCATCTATACATGACAGTGGGCTTTTGTTTCAAAACCGTCAATAATCCGACTGAATGGGGCGGTGGAGAGGGGGGAAATCTGTCGTTTTCTTTACATAAACTCCTAATCAAAGCTCTTGGCTTGATGAAAGCGCCGATATATTCCCCTGCACTCGTATACCCCTCGTACATCCTAATGAAGCATTGAATGCGCCGGCCCATGAGGACCTCTTGATTCTGAGGGGATATCTCCGTTGGAGTACATATGTGCCAGGTGGTGCTGCAGTTATACTGCGTTTGCCGGATCAGAAAATATATATGTATGCAAAATCCGGCTAAAAAGAAACCAGCATGCTCACTGGGAGCGCACATGTACACACGTGCGACGGGCGAATATAATAAAAGTGTAAAACAATAATTCTGGAGTATGTCCCTTGTACAATGGACGCGAGAATGCTAATAATTTTCAAGAGCGATATGATGTGTACGGATTGTAGCAGTTGGAGCTGGTGTGTACAGTATGTGTGCGGGTGTGAAGTGGGTATTGTCAGGGGATGGAGCTAGTTAATTTGGCCACTGTTTAATTGGAGAGATGGCCTTAGGTGGAAGAATTATTGTGGACTAAATAATACCAAGTGCATGACCACTGGCCATGCTGGCCCATACATACTCGTATAGGATTACTCAGCGAACGCAGTGCTTCATTTTGTTTACTGCATTATATTTTATTATCATAAATATATAACTAACTGCTTAGTCTGCTATTGAGATGTTGACGTTCTAACCTTTAGTTTTTTTGTTAAGATTTGCTATAGTTTTGCTGTTTAAGAACCGTTTACACATGCAATTGCAACTGGAACTTAATGAACTTATACTTACAATATATTAGTGTGAATAATTAATTTAATCGGTAATGCACTGGGATTAATTCTAGCGCTCGCTAAGAAATATACTTCGCATCATAATCATGCATGCCACACGAACAGTCGTAAGTATGTCCCCTCATAATTACTGGGATAGTTTACAGTACAGTACTTAATTACTGTATTATTATTCAGTTAACCGCGAGATTTTCGAATACGAGTAGCTTTATCACTCATAAAGTAGATGATGTGCTCAGAGACAGTTCAACTACGAAATTGACTTTCAGACTTTGTAGTAAATATATTTTTGGAGTGTAGAAGATGCTATGGAATCTTCCTGTGGCTGGTGTAAGAGTACAACATGAAGCCTATCTCGAACAAAATGTGTTGAAATTTAGTCTGAAAATGTAGTGCAGTGGTTGCTTTCAAGTTCGATCTTCATTCCATAACTATATGCTAACCAGAGAGCATTCAAAACACTGGTAGTCTAAGAAATATGTCAGTAGATCGAGTACCGTCTTGTTTTTTTTCCAGTAGGGAATTGTTCCATCTTTTACCCACACTAAATTTTCTTTACAAGGAAAACATAGAAAATCGAAACAAGGAAACACCGTCCTAGCATGGCATACCGGTCAATTTTTGTTATAGTCGATCCCGTGCGAAAAAAACCCGTGTATACATATAACATCAGACGTATACGCAGTTGCTCCAAAGATGTTAAAGTAGGGTAACATTTTAAAAAATATCAAACGAAGCAATCAGATTTATTTTGGACTGCAAATGGCTTTGGTAGGTGACTTAATATTAATGGTGGTCAGGAGATATACGAGTCCCTATACGTCCCTAAAATCCGCTGAAGTATGCGACGTGTCAGCCACACGAGACTGGTAGGAGTTTGTCTGGATGTAAACGGTGTGTTGTCTGTCGGGAGTTGCGCATAATCGTGGTCATCCGTGGTGTATATTGATTAAAGGGTAAATTTGCACAGCCGTGGCCCGTGTCCGTGTTCGCGTCGTTCAGGTGCGATAATGCCCTGATCAGTGTGTCAGTTCAGCCGGGATAATCCAGTCCAGCCACGAGGACGGCCAGCCATTCGACTCCTGTGTCAACACTGCCCCGCACCGGCCAAATTGCTCAAATACACATACCATATTTCTAAAAAACGCAAAGTGCAGTGTCCTTAACCTGACAATTAGGACTGCTTGGACACTTATTGGGAGACCACTTTGCACTTGCCAACCAGCCAAAGACGGCCATAATGTCAATAAATTAAACTACAACTGGCAAAGTTCTATGGCTTACAATTATTTTAGTCCGGGACTGCTAGCTGAATAAACTGGAAGATCCCAATTACTCTATTTCTTGTCATTCGCCTGCGCACCTAATGGCCCATGCCTTCTGACAAAAACGTTTTCTTTTAATTGTAATCGCGCGGTAATTTGGTAGTTTAATAATTTTTCCAAAACGGTACTAATTTCTTTCCTGCCGCGTTTGCTACATTTGGTAAAAAATCAATTCTGATCGATAAAAATTTATTAATAAAATTGACGCTGTGTAAGCGCTGATTTATACTTCTAGTGTGTTATCATACGCAGTTGGGGTTTCACATAGTTTTATAAAATATTTCTAGCAGGTTTGAATGTAATGAAAATAATCCCATAGATTTAGTAAAATTCTTCGGTGAAGCGATTTATTCATAATTCTCAGCGCTTTCATTTGTCAACTACGGTAGGCTGTACAGCCTGTACGCTCAACTTTATACAACTTGGAAACTTACAAATTTGACAACTAGGGTAAATCAGTTTTCACTCCCAACAAGTAAAATTCAAAACAGGACAAGGGAAAAAGCAGCATTTGTATCATAACACTGCATTTGTGCTGCACTGTACATTTAAAATTAAATAAAACAAAGAACAAAATGGCGTTTACTTCTTCGATTTGGGAACACGGTCGTACTGATTGAGATCCAGTGTCATATTCCGGCTTATGCATACGTCTCCAGGCTGCAAGTACAGTAAACAACTGTCAAAAAGCTGCGGAACTACAAATATCAATGTAGAAGAGTAAAAATTAAAAGGCAAAGAGCACTTCGTTCTTCAGGTTAGAAATTTCTCAAGAAATTCATCATTTAATTTAATGGAAGAATCGCCTTTACTAGATCTGCGTTTTGTGAAAGCGGTTACTGTAGCGAGAAAAAAGAAGTTGCAAGAAATCTTCCGTAGGTTAAACGCTTCGGCAGCCAGTCAGAAATGAGCGAATGTTAAAAATGTCAGAAAACTAATGACAAAATTTCAATATTCGATTATACGAGTATATTTCACTTGCGCTCCAATTTGTCATAATCAGTTGATTAATTGGTTACAACTCTAATTTCATTAGATAAACTAAAGCAAAAGAACTATACCAGTTAGGCGAAAAAGTATGCAAAGGGTATTCTAAAATCGCCTCACTAAATTTCATCTAAATTATAACGTTTTCACCATAACTCCAGAAGGCCCGCTTGCGATATCACTGCACTACGATTACAGCACTACCACTATCACTATAAAAACCATTCGTTTACCTCCGGATAAATGCCGACTAGTGCGTCCACGTGCTGGTACATTTCCTCCTTAAGGGAAATAATGATGATCTGAAATTCATCGCGGGATTTCTTCCTCATGAACTGCGCCACTCGTCCAATATTGGCGTTGTCCAGTGCGGCGTCAATTTCGTCCATGATGAAGAAGGGTGACGGATGTGCGCTGCAAAAATACGGTAAATTTACAAAAAAGTCCATTCTCATCTTGTGACTGTTAAAATAAAACTGTGGTCGGAGCACTGGCAAGCTTACGCGTGAATAGCGAAAAGCAGTGACAAAGACGCCAGAGTCTTCTCGCCACCGGAAAGGCTTTCAATAGTGCGGTAATTCTTTCCCGGCACCACCAGACTCAGGTTCACTCCACCGCTGAAGGGCGATTCTTGATTATCGGCATTTAGGAAAGCTTGAGCGCTTTTCTCATCCACCAGCTCCTACAAAAATTCGCACAAATGAAAAAATGGATAATTTTACAAGCCAAAAAAGTATTTTCTGGGGAAAAAGTACAAACGAACGCAACCCCACTGAACTATTCCAAGAGCGACGAAAGTCCAAATTATCTCCTCAAAGTGGAAAAAATTAAACACAGCAAACTAGCTGACTATTAGCACACTTTTATTGTTTAAATTAGTTGGCTCACTTAATATACTTCTACTACACTTTGATCGGATTCTCTGTTGTCTGTTGGGTGACTTTACGATTAACGTACAGTACAGTACTTAATCAAATTCTCATTTGTAGTACAGTTTTGCAGCAGAAACGCAAAGCTTATAGTGCGCCTGCGAGCAATTGTAGTACTGGGGCATTTAACCGTTCTAAGGCACAATGGCACAGTGAATTGCACGTATGACACCATCAACTCAAAGCATATTACGTAAAAGCATCACTTTTCATTGCTAAAATAGTGTAACTGAGCTTGCTTTTTGGTAATCGGGTTGCTATTGCTTTTTTAAACTACTATTACACCATCTGTAATGGCGGTTATCTCCAAAGCTACCACTCCATACCTTGTAGATCTGATCAATACTATTTGCAATAGTGTCCAAACATTCGGTGAATTTCTTATACCGCTCCCGCTTCACTTCATCAAACTGATTGTTGACGTTCACCACCCGTTCCCGTGCTTCATCCAGCTCATGAGTGAACTGGCGCACTTTGGTTTTGATCTCACCCAGTCGCTCCGACGCGTTAGCCTTGGGCAGTGCCAATTTGTCCATTTCTGCTTCGGCTTCCTTGATGATTCTCTGCATCCGCTCCACTTCGCGACGGTGTTCCGCTGCGTCAAATTGCTGCAACAAAAAATTTTATCCAACACTGGAAATCCAAGGCGTCCAGGGGTAGATTTATACTATACCCGTTTAAGGCGCTCCGGAAGACCACTATAGTCGATTTTAATGTTGGCTTCACGGTCTTCGAAACTCTGCGTATTAATGGACTCCTGGCTGGCCTGCTCCATGGAGGCGTCCTGGGTGGCAGTCACCACGGCGACGTTGATGTCTTCCATGGAACCGCGCTCAAATGGTAAGGTGATATTGTGCATCTGTACAAACAGTGCATACATGTGACATCGTAGTGCAGTGAGACTGAAATCAACTGTAGGCAGGAAACGAAACTGTCAAGATTCCAATGACAAAAAGTAATTAATGAAATTCCTTACATGCAATTGATGCACAGCAAATGCTTTCCAAAACAGTATAAAGAAACATGTACTTAACAAGCCGTCGAAGAAAAAATCCTAGCGTACCGCAAATGTAGAAATAATAGCTAGTCAAACATAACGAAAATGCTTAAACTGCTACAGTTCCTACATCTTGAACTAAGATTAGAAATCTTCTCTATAACGAACTATTTTTGAAACAGCACCACAATACTAAACGGTGCATTTATTAAAGAATCTCAGAACATTCGGCCCGACAAAATATTAAAAAAGCCACACACTCTCGCGTTCAGTCTAGTTCATAAGTCAAAACCTACCTTGCAGTGCTGCAAGATGGCGCGCCGTTCCAAGCGTAGCTGCTCACGTTTGGTTTCTTCAGCAGCAATCTGCCGTGTCACCGTCTGATGTTTCTTGGTGATGGATGCGAACTCTTTCTTCAATTCATCCGCCTCCGACTCCCGCTCGTCGGCTTCTTTTTTGATATCGTTTCGCTGCTCCTTTAGATCTTCCAGCACTTTTTCCGCTGCTTCCACAATCTACAAAACAGCAACACGAACTGAACAACCAGAAGATTTCAGGGCCAATATACAAAGTAACCTTTTCTTTGGCCTTTTCGTCCTCTTGAGCGGCGTCAAGATCCTTACGGAGTTTTTCCAGACCCTTTTCACACTTCTCAACTTTATCTACAATATATTTATATTGTGTTTATTTGTCGCAACAGAGTATTAGCAAGCTGTTATAGCAAAATATACCGGTTAACTTTTGCAGCTGCTGCTTTTCAAAGATCAGCTTCTGGTTGAGTTTGTTGATCTGCTGATCAAATTCAAATACGCGATCAGTGCGCTGCTGTCGTTCACTTTCCTCTCGTTCTTCGTAACGCCTACAACAAGAAAAAATTAGCAAATGCAGTAAAATGGGGTAATTATGTTGCCCTCCGTACCGGATGTTTGGTACCCCAACATCCTGACAGAATTCAGCAAAAATATCGTCCTCCAGTGTATTAAGCTGTGCCTGGAGGTCGTTCTTCTTTTTCTCGGAAGCCAGCACTTTTTTCTGTGCCGCCTTTACTCGATCCTAGAAATAAAGACTCTTCTAACAAGCAATTAAACCAAGTACTTTCAAGTTTCGAAAATTCTAGAAAAGTTTCGCCTTCATCCGTTAAACCGTATTTTTCACAAAATAAAATGTTTTAACTCATTTGTTATACATAAATAATGTGACAGAAATACTCGTAATATGATTTCCAGCGAACCGACAGTATCTAAAGTCAAAGCATCTAAAATAATCTATTCATCGTTAGTATATACCGCAAGAGTTGCCGCCTTAGCTTCCAACTGTTCGATGTTTTGGCCCAGAGTTTCTTGTTGCTGTTCTAGCTCTTCCATTTCCTTCTGAGCATACTTCAAACGCGCAGACATTCCCTTCAATCTGGGTTCCATTTCACGAATCTCCGCTTCTTTCCGTTGTTTCACCATTAAAGCGCGCAGTTCGTCGGTCAGCTTGGTTTGTTCAGTTCGCAACTTATTTAGCTCTTTCTCATCCCAACGCTTAGCACGTGCCTTCAGTTCACTAAAAAAGATCATCGTGATTGGTAACAATTCATATCAAGTCTCTAAATCTCTGCAAAAAACCACGCCCTATTTTTGTTGTATACAAAAATTAGTTTCTTGGATTTAGAAACAAAAAAGCAAATTTTTTAATTCGGATTTGTTCAGTGAGCGTCTGGCAGAAGTAGGTAACTTAGCGACAAAAAGTTCCATTTCAGCTTACGCAGCTCCACCGGAAATAATTCCGCTCTTATCAAACAACGTCCCTGTCCAGGTGACCACCTGGTACCGATCCCTACTGTATGCCAATTCCCGGGCATATTTGGCATCCTGACAAGTCAGACTACTGCTGCAGGCGAATTTCAAGGCCTTCATGACGCTTTGTTTGTCATGATGTGTCACTTGGATAACATCGATCACCAGCTTCAGCCGATCGGGATCTTTTGACCTGCAAAACCAGAATTTACGAGCGACGCAAACTATTTTTTTTCAAAAACCTTTCCACAACCAACCGGTTTATAAGAACCCCAACCTAAGAAAGCCTCTGATAATTTTAACCATTTGTACAAAAATTCACAAATTAACCGTAAGTAATCGCTAACACTACAAAGATTAGCAAAGCAATGCCAGTTGGACAATTTCAAGTGCATGGCATTACCAATAAATGGATATCACAAGAGCAAAAGCCGTCAAAAAAACGAATGGTTAAAAACACAAAAAAAGTCTAGCTGTACATACCGCAAATGTTCAGCGATTGGTTTAATCTCCAAATTATCCAGCGGCAGAAACTGCTCGGGTTCGATTTCTTGCTGTTTCATGTAAGCGATACACTGCGTGGCGATCTGCCGGGTGGTGACAACAATGGCATTCATGTACTTGCCGAGGATCTTGGTCACAGCCAATTGATAGCGTTCATGGGAGTGATGGCACAGATCCACAAGTCGACCAATCTACCAAGAAATGCTCTTGTTCATAACCGTAGGACTATAGGCAGTCTGTCAACCGGACAACCTACCACTTCGTCACCATAAAGTTGGCGAAGTTTATTGATCAATTCCTCTTTCTTAGCTTTGCGCGCTGTTTCCCGTTCGTCCACGCGGAACTCCGCCAGCTTCTGCGCAATATTCTGTAAACGCTCCTGAATTTCAATCATTCGCGGCTCAATATTTTCCGTGGACTCCTTAAGCTCGTCGATGTCTGCTTTCAGTTTATCCCGATTCTCTTCAGAATCCCTAGAAATACGTTTCTTTATCAATTACTTACAGCTGAACTACACCATTTCCTATCGATCTCAACTTGATTATTTTTTAAGCCCAGATTAGCAAATATAGATTCGAGAAACCGCACTGTTCGATGTTCTGCGCCAGAATTAAGAAGGCAGCGCTATGTAACGTATGCGAAGTATATTAAGAAGTAAGTATGTCCATGTAACGTATGTATTAAAAGAAAAATTTCAAAGACTCGAAAAGTTTGAAGTTGTTAAAACTGCCAGAAGATGAACATTACTGGATATGGGTCTGCAGCCGCTGCATTCGTCCCGCAGCGTCCGTTTTCTCTTTGCGTTTCCGCTTAAGTTCATTGTTGCACTCCTCCAAGGCGTGCTGTTCGTTCTTATAACTTTCTTGGTCTTTACGATACGTTTGCCGCAAGAGTTCCATCTCTTGACTGCGATCCTTCATCTGGCGCGCTACCTCTTGTTTTAAACGGTGATACTCGTTTAACTGAAAGCCAACGATGAAATCACTAAATTGTCCCTCAAATGAGCAAAGCAGTACAAAGCACCACAAACCTGTGCCGGTGACAACTGGGTTAGATGCTGTGATTCTTGAGTCTGAGAGGAAACTGACTCTTGGAAGTCTTCTTTGGCTTGTTTGACATCATGAATTTCTTCTTCCAATCGAGCAATCTGTAAATTAAACACTAACCATTTGCCACCGAAACAAAACTAATCAGACTACAAACACCCGAACAACATCCCATCAGTTAAATTCTAATATTCAGTGTAGTGCAACGGCATAACCCACAGTCTCTGAATAGTGCAGGATTGCCAATCGTTATCAAAGCAACGCATTGATCTATTTACAATACATTTTTAACACTCAAAGGACAAATTACGGTGCAATAATTTCGCGATAGAGCGATGAAATGAAAAAGCTAAAACGTTCTCAATTTCCCAAAAAAATGTCATCGTTCTTTGTACATCACTGCCTTTTTAGTTCTTATTGCTGTTGATAACTTGATATTTCGACAGTAACATTGTTTTCGGTGTAGTAAGTACTCACATCTGCTGCTGCTTGATCGCGATTCGAAATCAGGGTTTCCAGCATCCGTCTATAAGTTGCCAAAAGAAATGGATAAACAACCATGAACTGTTTAATATTGCCATCCGATAGCTGCTTACACATCCGCACTATCCTTCTGCTGGAGATGTTCAATCTTAGCCTTTAATGCGATGAGGTTGGGCTTGGCTTTAGACACCTCACCTTCCTACAGAAAATAAGAAGAATAAGAAGCTGTGAAGCATCTAAGAGCATACTCCGCTATGTGCCGAATGAAAGAAATTACCGCATTACGAATTTCCTGGTCCAGTTTATTCAACTGTTTGTTCTTCTCCCCAGCCTTTCCCTTGGCTTTCTTCAATCGGTCCTCCATTTCTTTACGCTCATCTTCCAGTGCGTCTGCCGCTTGTTTCTGTCGACGAACTTCTTTCTTAATGTCGTCCATTTCACGCTCCTTGTGGTAGATCTCAAACTGTTGCAGCGTCGATCGTTCTTTTTGCTAAAAACATGAAGAAAATTGTAGTAGCGCATCAGAAAGAAGAGGTGTTATTTTCTGCGCGTAATGTATCGCGCTGACTGCTTCAGGAAACAGTTATTTCAGACAATCAATTTACGAGTCCTTACGCATTCACCGAATTACTCGACCTAACCCTACTAGCAGTTAGAAATTGCCGATAGAACGTTACTCTTGCAGTAAAAAACAGCGAGAGATCGGAAGCAAAGTTCATCATTTCAGAAATTAAGAGCAAAGACTGAAATTTAATTATCATTGCAATAATTTACTTAAGAAACAGGCTAATAGCACATATTCAGCATGTCAAAATTCTTATGCGATTTAAAACAAATGAAACTGTGCAACGAAAGTGCACTTACCAGTTCCTTCAAGCGTTTGTCGTAATCATCGGCAAGCTTCTTCTCCTCTTTCGCTTCCTTTTCTTCGACAGCCACTTCCTTTTTGTTGTTGAACGCCTTGCGCATTTCTTCCTGAGCGGCTTCCTGCTCTTTAGCCAGGCGCTCGTAGTCATCTTTGAGATCGCCGGAGCCACTAATCTTCTCAATCAGCTGTGTGCGCTGCTTGGGATCCATCGTGGCGATCAGCTCCACTTGGCCTTGGAAGACCAAAAAGTTCCGCGGCTTGATAACGATGTTGTACTCCTCCAGGGACTCAATGTACTGCTTGTTGCTCACACTCTTAAAAAAAATAGGCAACAAAAATTTAATGCAAAGTAGGAAACAATACATACTTGTATTATTTTAAAATTCATACTCACTTTAATTATCTGTATTTAATTAATACTCGAATTTAATGAACTCAATTAACAGTAAGTACCATAATTCGTGCAATCATTCAGCATACGGAAAAACAAGAAGATTTTCAATTGCAAAACCTTAAAGTTTTAAAACAAATCGAATAATCCCGTTGTGGGCATTCAAATATGATGCATGATGATAAACAGAAATAACCTGAAAAACGAGCAAAATTTGAAACAGTAGCTAACCTTGCCATCGATGCGATATTCAGAAGTGGCGTCTGTTCCCGCAGAAACGCGAACCGTTCGCTGAAAGCGCTTCTCATCTTCCTCGCCGATCCGCAAAACAGCCGTGACTGAACAGGTTTTAGCCGCGGGATCGTTGACGTTGGATCCGTGAACCAATTCCTGCAGGAAATAAGAACGAGCCGTTCATTTTCTGATTCTTAGCATAATCACCAACACATGCGTTAGGAAGCCCAATCAAAAACAAATCGCAACCACACTTCAGTAATTCTTCGAAAGGATGATGTCAACGAAGATCTCGCTTACTGCTTACATTCAGTTTTTTAACACGAAGGCTACGGGCTTGTTCTCCAAAGACAAAGCTGATGGCATCCATAAAGTTGCTTTTTCCTGCAAAAATCAACCAACACAGTGGATGGTTTTCCAACTGCTGGATACGACTGCCTAGCACAAAAATAGCTGGCAGCATACCCGAGCCATTCGGGCCGATGACGGCTGTGAATGATTTAAGCGGTCCGATCGTAACATTCCCTTTGTAGGATTTGAAGTTCTCGATCTCCAGACGATCTAACTGAACGCGATCATCATCAGTGAACGTTCCGATCGTCATTCTGGCAGCGTTTCAATCATCAACGAGCCATCAAGTGCTGCACCGCAGCAGTTACAAACACCCTTTCCAGATATGTGTCCTATCTCGTGAAAATGCCGAAGAAGCAGGCAGAAGAGAAAAGACTATCAAAAACTACAGAAAACTCTCCAAAAGAAAAACTGGTTAAATTTAAAACGTTTTTGAATTTTTCTGCAGTACTGCTCTTGGTCTTTTGAGTTTTGCTTTTCTGCTTTAGTTTAGGAGCGCAGAGCGCCCAGCGGAAGCTCCAATAAGTCAGCGTGAATTCCATTCCATTCACTTTATAAGGGTTACCAATGGAAGCAATACCGAACTGATGGAACTGGCATTTCCGTCCGCTGTTCGGTCGACCGACTCAACACACATCTGGCCGGTATTCGTGGCAACTTGTTTTTTGGTTTTTTTTAACAGGTTGTTTACTTCCCAGATGAAAAGTAAAAACTGTGATAAGTGATATTCATCCCTCCCATCCCGGAACCATTTTTCTGAACATTCGTGCGCGTACTTTTTTTACTCAAAAATTAAATTATTTTTATAAACGTACTGTTGTCACTGCTGTGATACTCCCAACTGCGACGCTTTTGCACCTGCTTTTCCGATCTGTTGGCACATCGCTCACTCATCCTGCAAAATGCCTTTTGATGTGCGCAGGCAAGTATCGCCTGCAACTGAATGGACAAATCCCGATTCTCAGCGCTTTCCCTTGCAGATTGGATATCTACCGAAAAGTCCCCAAAGATCTCACGCAACCCACCTATACAGGAGCCGTGATATCCGTGCTATGCGTGCTTTTTATAATATTTTTGCTTCTGTCGGAATTTCTCATGTTTATCGTTCCTCAGATGTAAGTCCCGGTTTTTTTCGCATGGATTCTGCACGGAAGTTAAATGGACGGGATGAAAACTTATTTTGGGATTGCAGAGATAGCGAATTGTTTGTGGACGATCCGAATCAGCACCATGACAGGATACCAGTGCGACTGAATATCTCGCTGCCACATCTGAAATGCGAACGTAAGAGGCTTTGATTTCACTTGACAGTCATTGACACTGGGAAATGAAATTTGATAAGATTACGGTCTTGTGCAGTTGCGGTAATGGTTTGTTTGACTCCACTATTTGTCTGATTGATCGGGTAAACCTTAGAGTCCGCATTTGTAATGTGATAAGGGATCAAATAATTTTCCTATCATTTGCCAGTTGAATATTTTATTCATAACAAAATTGAGTTACGAGTAGTTAAGCTAATGGCGCAAACTTTTATAAGTCTTGGTTGTAAAAATAATTTGGAGTATTTTATATGAATAATATTTTGGTGTTTCACTTTTGGTCACAATCTGCAGTACAAGTATGCGTAGGTGTTACCTTTTTCTGAGTTTTTACAGATCTGTGTTTCAGAACAAGAAAATACTGATGTTTATTATTTCTTCCAGCTATTTTGACGGCCTTGGTCATCTTGACTCATTTTTTGCATCGTGCATGGTTCCGCTCACATTAAATTCTGTCAAGCTTGAGTGAATTTCACTCTGATTTATTTTCCGGGTTATTGGGTTTCGTTTAACATTAGAATAGATAAAATTACGCATTCGCAAGAACAAAGTTTTTCACTTTCGGTGTTGAGTATTAGCCGATGTTGCGTCGTACTCGTAAAAATGCAGTTTAGAATTTGCAGAAAATGAGATACGGTATGACTTATGTTTGTATTTTGGCGTTCCATGTATGTATCTGTGCAGCTACTGAACTGATAATAAACTTATTCCTAATAATTATTATCTGCTCACAAGTTGGATCTTTTAACTCTGTGACTTTTCGCAGAGCTTAATATTTTTGTATCTTTTGGCGCTCTTGAAAGCCTTAACAGTTAGCATTATTTTACGCTGCATATAAATGTACGTCAATAATGCGTGCGGCACCGTTGTGTGGTAGTATTGAGCACAACAAGATTACAAAGTTCCCTTGCTGAATTGTTATTTTTCTTTTTTCAGTGGTCGGTTTGGATATTCAGGTGAGTGCAACACATTTTCCTTTCATACGGCGATATGTGCGCCTGTATTTTGACAAAATTAACTGTAGTATCCCTGCAGGACGACTTGGGAAGGCACGAAGTGGGATACAATGCCGAAACGCAGAAGATACCGTTTCCGGATGGCAGTGGATGCCGGTTTGAAACCAACTTTTCAATAAATAAGGTACGAGTGCGTCAGTCGCGGTCAGTGGAACAACCTGAGTGATGGTTTAATATCACCACATGCGCGACGCAGCATACAATACATTGTGATTCAACAGGTGCCGGGAAACTTTCACGTATCTACGCATGCCGCAGGCCATGGAACTGGACATCAAGATATTCCCAATTTTCAGCATATTGTCCATGAACTAACGTTCGGGCATTCGTTGAACGTGAGTTACAGTATTTCTTGTAATGATAATTACCGCTCTTACCTCACAGATTAGTCAACTGTGTGCGCACCGCCCAGGGTGCGTTTACTTCCCGACTAAGTCACAGTAAATATCTGCCGAGCGAAATGCTAAAACTCTTAGTTTCCTTCTGCTCCTATACTCAAATTATTTGTTCAAATAAATCCATAATATCATCTTGGATGAAGTGATGCAACTTGGTTGTTGTAGGGCAAGAACGTACCTGGAAGTTACAACCCAATAACCAGTGTTATGCACGCCAACGACGATCGTAAGTTGTACTGCTTTAAAATTAAATATTTGGAACAGCGTTTTATAAATCAATCCGTTGTGCGAGCTTCTTATACCTCACTGAATTACGAAAACTTATGGCTCTGCAAAACTTTCGGCTATATCCGAAAACTTGACCTTAGTGGTGTCGGTAATATATTTTGGTTTGGACTAAACTAACATAATGCAGCGACAAACTTGTGCACTCGTACGAAGATTTATGAAAAACATTGTGCGCAGCAGTATGTACTGACTACAGATACGAATGTTTTACTTACGAGAAATAAGCTCGAGATCCACAAATTTAAAATCAATAAATCCACAATTTTTTTGTGTTGCAGCCACGAATAATCACGAATATGTCATAAAAATTGTGCCAACACTGTATGAAGATCTGCATGGAAGTGTGATTGCGGCCTATCAGTATACGTATGCCCATAAAGTTATCCCACGTACGGACAGATGATCCCGGCCGTGTGGTTCCGATATGATCTGACTCCGATAACGGTACGGGCTACGGAATCATCTACGGAAGAATTTGTTTATGCTGCTTCTCATGGTGTTACAGTCTGTACTCTGTAGATGGTATCATTATGATTTACCATTATTTTGATATTTGCAACTGCTACAGGTGAAATATCACGAGAAGCGGCCTCCGTTTTACGCTTTCCTTACCACGGTATGTTGTCACTATGTTCGGATTAATTTTGATACGTTGCTACAAAACTTCCTGTTAACCCTTAATGAAACAGTACAATTATAAATTAGAATTCTCATAAGGCAGGCTCGTCTGCTTGATTAGAACTTGCTAGGCTTTCTAGTTTCTGCTCACAATTTCCCATGGTAAAAAGTCACCCGTATTGTTTGAATTGTGAATCGCTTATTTCTTGAAAAATTTGTAGTCTATCTTTACTCTGTAGTTTTACTGTCGCTGTTTTTTATCGCTTTCCATGAAAGTATTTGAGTGATTGACCGGAAGTATGTCATGGAAATTTGTACCGCTCGGTTTTTCTGTTAATTCTTATGTAGCAAGGATTGGGTTATTTAATTTATTGCATATTGGGAGCTGAATTTACTGATGGTTTACTTATTCGTATCACCACAGTGGTTTCACCATTTCAAATATTGCCGTTTAGAAATTTGTTGCGATGCACTTGCGTTTGTGTAACGTACGTATGTGGAACAAATTTTAATGCTCTTGCTGTTTTTCCCACGGTATAGTGCACATAGGAGAATTCCGATTTGTTAATAATTACAGAATATTGTTTATAATTGTTACAGTTGGTATCTACTGTAAATTACCTCATTCGTCTTCGTTACGGCCATATTCATGATATGACTGTCGATTTAAGTACTGGAGCAGTCGCAAATTATAATGTGTGATTCTCTTTTGTATCGTTGTCGCTACTGAGCAAACATCAAATACAATAGAAGTAGGTATTGAAATGAAATAAATTGAAATGTTGTGTGTATTGTTACTGTTGTATATCTGGTTTTCGGATTTTAGTCTCTTTAATTAAGCCTTTCGAAAATTGAATTTGGTTGTTTTTTTGAATTTTCGGCATAGCCGAATTATTCTGTATGACGTATCTGTACAAACATTGAATTTTTTCTTTGTTTTCAGATTTGTGCTATTGTCGGAGGAACGTTTACTGTTGCCGGAATCTTGGACTCATTGACTTTTTCGGCCCACGAAATGATTCGGAAGAAAATGAAATAGGAACCAACCCGTTAAAAAATTCCATCCAAATGAAATTGATCTTCTTTCTGACCGCCCGTTGTTGTGTTTTTGATGTTATGGCAGCTGTAACATTCCGTTATTTTTGTGGTTTAAAGTTTTATTTACAAAGCGCTGAAAACGGTCTTGTAGTACGAAATGTTTTAAGAAGTGTGAGGTGAAAAGGTGTTTGTATTTCAAAATTTATAACCCTTCTGCGGTGCAGTGCCGGTTATTGACTCAAATGTTGATCGCAAAAATTAAATGTTTGATTTATTTACTGAGCCGTTTGTTTAAAATAATGGCAAAGTGAACGTTAATTTTAATAGTACGCTTTTAACTTGCGATATAGATGCAACTTTAGGAGCACAATTTTCTTCGGTAGAGAAGGATAAAGGTTTTTTAATTAAATTATATCATGAGCGTACACAAACTGCGTGTAGGTTTTAATTTATAGTTATATGTACAATTTTTATCTTAAGCGTAAGTTGACAATTAGTTGCAGTTTTCGGTTAGGTTGGCATTGATTTGTTAAGTAACTCATCCTAAACCGTGTCTTATTGTAAATGCTACTATTTTCGAAAAAAATGCAAACGCCTCGGGACGATGCGAAAGGCTGACAAAAACCAGGAGGACGGCTTTCAGCGGCGTTGCGCGTTACGCAACAACAACCGCCGCTGCCGCAGTGCAGTGCATATATCGGCTCGGTCCGGTCCATCCGGAGCGTCAAATTAGCGTTTTTACAGTTGTAAACCAGTGGCACAGATTTTTCCTGATAATTTGTAGCACATCACCGACTATTTTTATCCCTTTAATTATTCTGTAATTTTTCCTGCGATCATGCCCCTGTCACGTCAGCTGTAATCAAAGTCTCCGATTGCCGTTCATGTGAAAAAGCGCGGTCATTTACACTTTTTCTCATCCTTTTCCCTTCCTGAAACACGGTGTGTGTGTAATGTGTGTTGCCAGTGTGCGCCGTTTGCAGCAGTGTGTGTGATAAATGCCAACTACAGGCAATTTTGTGTGATGCGTCCTTTCGGTGTCTGCGCGTGTGGCATGGGCATTGCATGACTGAGGGGGTCTGTTTTTGGAAAGTTGCTGAGTTATACGTTATTTTTATGAAAGTGATACGTCGTCACAAACGGTGGAGAACGGCATCTAGTTGATGGCGGCGATAAGGCAGCGCTATGCGTCGCCGCCGTTGCGCAGCGAAGAAAAGCAGATGGACAGCATTTTCACTCGGATAATCGCGGCGATTGCTGCTGCTGCATAAGCCATGGATTTCTTCATTTCCCGGTGTACGGGACACTATTTGTTTAATTTGGGAAATCTGATCTGATACTTCCTGGAGCGCGGGGCCAGTATGCACTAATCATATTGCGCGTTGATCGCTTAATTTTCTCCCTGTCTCTTGCGTTGATTAATGTGACGCGCACACACGGCTGCCGTGACGGAATGTTGTTGTGTGGACGGGTGGTGTGGCTGTTGTGCGGTGTTGGTGTGTTGATGTTGGCCGCCGACAATGTGGGACACAAGCAGAATGTCACTATCGGACTGATTGTCCCCAATAATGACCGCTACGCCGCGTCCCTGCACCGCATTCTGCCCGTGGTGCGTCTGGCCATTGACAGGGTGCACGCGGTGCTCATGCCCAATTATTCCTTCAATGTCACGGTGCGGGAGGATTTTTTGCTACTTTTTCCTATTGATCGCGTCACTGTTGTTTTACGGTGTTTTCTTTATTTTTTAGTGGACGGATTTGAGTGATTGCTCGGCTACGTACGGTAAGCAAAAAATCAAACACCGTGAGAAAATAAATACAATGTGCTTTCTTTGAAAATTGAATAACGATTTGCAGGCCCGTTGAGCGCCGTCGATATGCGCGATAAAGTTCAGGTAAAGGCATTTGCAGTGATTATTATCGTTGTTGGCTCATTTGGGTGTTTGTTAGTGGCAACTTGTTGTTGATTAGAGATAACGGATAAATAATGGTATTAATTTCACAAACAATCATTTTTATAAATTTTACAAATATTATTTGGCACATTTCACAAATAGTTTAATGGGAATATTTATTTGTATACATTGGATGCTGTACATCAATTTTAAGCGATTATGGGTTCGCTAGTTGGAAAAAGGTTAATTTTATAAAACATTAAATAATTATAAAATTTTTTTTACGGTGTGCAAGGTTTTCGCAGTTATTGGTCTTTTGAATTTAACGCAGTTCGCTCTTTTTTTATAATTAATTTTATTGGTTTTTGCTCTATTTGCCAGAAATTATCGACGAATTGTTTAGTAGTTTACATTGGAATGAGCAAAAAAATTCCAAGGAGTCCATTTCAGATTGGTTTAGGTTTTTCATGGAAGATGAACTGTGTTGACATTTTGACTGGGTTGTTGAAATCTCGTAAGATGATAGCGAGGGCAAACATACAGTGAAGTGCCTGTAAAAGAGACAGACTCTCATCGGACAGACTCTCCGGTCGCAGTGTAATTTGTACGATTTATTGTGATCCCCCGGAAAAACTTTTGACACCATTGTTTAAGTTGGACTGAATTGCGTGATGTGGGGAAATTAGGCGCACTGGTTACGGTAATTATTCTAATGGCAACTCTCAGTGTTTGCGCTCTCAGCTGGTTACGAGTACTGCAGCGGAGGGGGTTCTTGCGGGAAGCAACGCAAACCACACAGTATAATAGCACCTCATGATTTTGGCGGTGAATGGCTGATCAGATGCGGCCAAGGGGAATTATCGATTTGCATTGATTTGCAGTGGAATTCCGTATGGATTTCAACTCAATAACTGATAACTAAATACAGCTGATTGTTATTGGCTTTTTCTTCCCGCTTTGCGCCTCGTTTAACAAAGCTTTATGAAATTTCCAGTTTTTGCTAATGGAACAGGTGAATGAAAAATTTGATTGGTTCGGTGTTTTGCACAATTTTAATTGACTTATTATTGTTAAATCTGGTCAATGAAAATCAGAAAGAATGTAATCGAATAATTTTGAGTGAATGATAGATTTCCGAGCACATGACATGTGTTTACGAACTGATAGAAAATTTGAAATTGAGAAAGACGGCACCGGACAAGTATCTTCTGAGCGAGAAACACTGTTTGTCTGCTAAGAATATGAAATGCGTTTTAAGAAATTTGCATGTTTGAGCTGCGTATTATCGCGCTGTACATACCGGTATCCCATGTTCTTGCACAATTTGACTGTTTATCGCAATTTTTATATTTTGCGTCTTCATAATATGATTTAAAGTTAATTTCTTGTGTTTCAGGTGTTTTTTGGACCGGTCTGCATCTATGACCTGGCGCCCGTTGTCCGATTTACCAATGCCAGCTGGGGCATTCCCATTTTGACCTCAAGTGGAAAAAGCTTAGTTTTCGACAACAAGGTATGCACTTTCCTGTTTACTCGATTTAGGCTAAGCCGATTACTTCCGTTTACTCGATTTTGAAAAAGATGCAGTTAAGTACGTAAATTCATAAGTTCTCCATTTAATGGAGTATAATATTCGTATGATTGTGTTTTAATTACTATAACTATTCTGATGATAAATTGATAGATAAGCCCATAAAAATATTTGCGCATGTTAAATTGATTTTGTTGAATTCTTAACCTTTTCCTACTAAAAAATGAAACTGAATTGTCCAATATTTCTGTGTATGCATATATACTGCGGATTCCTGCAGTGATTATACAGTGATGGATATTGAACTATCAAGTTAACGCGTAAGCATTTCTCGCTGAGATTCTTTGGCTAGTCCACTTATCGTGGCGTACTGCTGCAAAGGTGTCCTTGACTGGGCATGTTGGGGGGTGTAAAACGTCACATTAGATAGATACTCAAGTGGATGATTCCATTATTGACAGTAGGGTGTAATTTAAGAAGCGGGGCGATCGGGCGCAAAGAATTTTGTTTCTAGAAGCATGTTTATTTTTGCAGACCGAGTATGCGCTTATGACTCGCATGAATGGCTTTTACGGTCAGCTGGGTGACGTAATGACAGAAATCCTGCGCAAATTCAACTGGAATACAGTCGGACTCTTCTATTCGGATCTCATATCCGAGAAGAATCGTGGACATTCCGAATGTAAGTATCGCGATTGTATTTGGTTTGTTATCGCTTTCCACTTCCGCCTTTATGGTGGCTGCCGGGCTGGAAAATTATGTTCATATTTTGGCACAGGAAATTTTATTGGCTTTTTTATACGTAGCGTTGGATAAAAATGATGGTGCGGTCGTTAAATTTGAGTGGTGCAAACTGTGCTTGACTGCCGAGATCGATACTTGCGCTGCCGCTCATGGATTATTGCAAAAAATTCATTTTCCGGATAATTTCTAATTTAATTTCGGATAGCTTTTAATTTATCTGATTAAAAAGAACAGCAGAAGAACGAGTGTATATAGAAAATAGAAGAACAAAATTGTGCCAGTCAGAATTAAGGCTTTCCATGCGATCGGCATAAAATTGCGCGTTTCTTGCAGCCGATTCGGTCGCTTACTTATTTGTTGAGGGGTGCGTTTAGTCTTTAGAGATACGAGCACAAAAAGAAATTTTTGTAATTGCTACATTTATGCAACTGTTGATATTTACTTTTCACTGGGTTAGCGCAGCTTTTACTCCCTATTTGTTTGCGATTGGTTTCTTTGCATTGAAGCACAGACCCTTTTTAAAAGGAGAAGTGCGGCGGGGCAATTAATTCAGTTTGCGTTTGTTGAATGTTGACACAGCGTTATTATGTGGCGTGACAGGTAGCACGCTTGCAAGCCAATATTAGTTTGATTGACGGGAATCACATTAGTATTATTGATTGGGGGCTGCCTGCCATCCGACAAAAATGTCTTGCAAGTTTTGAGACTTAATAAATGGTCCAGAAAATATCTGTAAAATACACTCGAAAATATACTATATGTCTGACTCGAACATATCTGTAAAATAACAACTCTCACTGCCTTGTAATTTGTAAATAATTATTTATGTCTTTAATGTTCCTATAATGAATAACCAAATAGTTCTGTTCGCGTTCAGTAAACTATTTATTGATTTTATTCTATAATGGAACCGAAGTTACTACTTTGTAGTTTTAGTAATACGTATTTCGTATATGCCTTTGCATCCTTAAATTTATTGCTAATTTGTGAGCAAAATCTTTGTAGTTTAGTGCAAAATATAAGCAATCAGCGATTTGACCTTGTACAATGTATTTGAATTCTTTCTACAATAAATGAGCTTAACAGTGATCACTAGTTCGTATTTTCGGTTTGCTTTTTTAACAGACACACGTTTTTATGCTCTGTTACTGAGACAATCTGAGTAAGTGGACTGCGGTGATCGCGTCAATGTGATGACATGGTGCAGTGATATGGTCTCAATTTGTCATGGGAAAAATTTGTATTCCATTGTATTTGATCACTATTTTTGTTTGGTGAAACGATCGTTAACTTTATTTTTACTTTTTTTGCAGGTTACTTTTCCCAGGAGGCTTTTTTCTGGGCTATGAAGAGCAAGAAGATCTGGAATAAGCCGCCTTTTCAAAAGAGTTTCGATGAATCGGATCCCGACGTGAACTTCCGTCTCATGTTAGAGGATGTGACATTGCATGCACGCAGTAAGTGAAGCGGCAGTATCGGATTGAGCGGCAGCGCGGTGGCTGGTTTGTTTGTATACAAAAGTGCAGGATGTTTGGAATGTAGCCCGCTTAGAGACGTCACATTGCGTCTGTTTTTACCAAAAGACAACTGTCGTGACTGGGAAATTCAAACCCAGATGCGCCTGATGGCCCATGTCCCAGAGCAGGTCTCTCTGGTGTACTAAGTCGCGTTTTCCTTTGTGTTCCAATGGGATTACAAAGATACTCATGCGAATCAATACATATAATTACCCTGGATGGATTCTGTGTCCATAATACTGCAGCGGATAGGGTTGTTTTATCACGAAATCTTCTGGAAAAAAACTTCTTAGAAAATGGCTTCTCTAAAAATTAATTTCTTAACATTTTATCGTTGAGACTATAAGTTTATGTTTTTAAGAGTCATTCAAGGTTGTTGAATTTGATCCTAATTCTTCAAGAGGCAGATGGTTATGTTATATGACTTATATAATCTTTTTCATAGACACTTCCATAGATGCGTCGATAATATATTACAGCAATATGATTAGTGTTAATGATATGTCTATTGTCTACCTATTTTTAAACATACAATGAATTTTTATATTATTAGCTCATAGTAAGCATCTGTGCTGGAAAAGTTTAAATGATTTTAAATTTTGGAAATTAGTTCCGTCCGTTTTGATGCGAATGTGGATGAACTATTAGCAAGCGGGGTCTTCCACGGGAATTGATCTTCCCGGTGTTGTTGCGACATGTTATGCATGCATGGTTGCGTCGGTAACGATGATGTGGTGTGGCAGTTGATAGAGGTTGATGTTGACGCTTGAGGCATTGATTTAAGTCAGCGATCACTATCAATTAACAGCACACTATGCGGCTGTGGGCTGTGTTCATTAGGCAAAGGTCGGGATATGCCGTGGAGTCAGGATGTATTTCTCGGGGGAAATCTGTCGGCAAATCCTAATTTGAGGGCGTTGAGCTAGCTCGACGCTCTTTACGCGGCGCGCGCTCCTTGTCTTAGCCCGATTCGTCTAATGGAGACGTTTCGTTAACGGGCCAGCTGTAACAAGTTATAAATACCCCTTCGAGTTCGCGTAATTTACTTAGGCGGAAGCTCCGGTGTTAGAGACGGACTGCGATGCCGCCGTGACGGTGTCACTTTTAAGACGGGGTAGGCGCTTGAATACATGCTGGGTGAAAGGGCTTTAGGCCGGGATTAAGTGCCCCGGCGGGATGGCCGATCTTGATCTCTGTTTGGCAAAGGCCAAGGTTGATGATGATGTTAACACTACGCGGTTCGTGGTTGCCTAAAATCAACCAGCATGCTCGGGGCTTTTCATCGTTCTGCACTGCAAACTTATATCAGATAATATAAACTTATGATGAGATAATATGAAAACGTTTGGACTTTGGAGATACTCTGGTTGCGGACTTGCGGTGTGTAGACATATCCCGCAACACTTCATCAGTAGATGATGGAAAACACTGCAGAATGAAAAGCACGGCGGTGTCCTGATCTATCTGACGTTGCAGTTCATGTCGGTCATTTCGTTAAAAAAATTTTTTAACGGTAATTAGAGATGTATAAATACATATGTTATTAAATACCGTAAATTAACTGTGAAATGCTGTGATGGATTGAAGACATTATTTTTGTTGCAGTCATTACCATTTGCGCCTCCGCCAGAACCGTTCGGCGGCTTCTCCTGACAGCAGAGTCCATGGGCTTATTGGACTCAGGAGAATGGGTAGGAACCTGGAAAGCATCCCCCTTTAACGAGTGCATTTTACTTTTTTCATATTATTTTTAGGTGTTTATTAATATCGAGTTAGCGGCAAGGTTGGTACTGGTTTTATTGGTAGCTTTGGAAATTGTTTATCAGTATCGTTTGATAGCACCACTACGGATCAGAAGATCTGGGAGGATCCCATGGACGAGGGCAACAATACCCGAGCCCGGAAAGCCTTCGAGTCCGTGTTGACGGTGCGACCACGGACACCCACGACCGAACCATATCTCATGTTTTCCAACGACGTCAAGCGATTAACAAGACAGGAGTTTCCAGATTTCCGTGACCGCGATGCGCTGGTATGTTAATTATTAATTTATTATTATTCAACAGTACTAGCCTACTGCAAAAGTACATATTTAAAAATCATGAAAAAACCTTTATTGAGAATATTGAATATCACTCCGCTGTTTTGCTCATTTTTTCTTAGAAAATAATAGAATATATATATTTTTCACTGGTTCTTATGCAGGTTAATCCCGAAGCCGCATCGTTTTATGAAGCGCTGTTACTGTATGTGGCGGCTTTGAAAGAAGCGGTCAGCATGGGCTATTCAGCCAAGGATGGGAGAATTATTCACGAACTGATGAAGAATCGCACACTGCCAGGTACGAAAAACATGTGACCTCTAGACTGCAATTTTTTGCAAATAAGATAGCGGTGTTGCGGCTTCCGATCACGGACGATGATTCGTTCTGCAATAAAAATCCCGTTTTAATACCGTAAGCTTATTATGGTTCTCTGTCATGTGTGATTTATGGTGCGGTAGTGTTTTCATCCGACATATAATTTGATGGGCTTGTTTAGTGTGGCCGACATGGTCATGCTTTGTTCGGTGAATGTTGAGGTGAAGTAATTAAAAAGTATCCTACGAAAACAGCGTGACATTATTGTAGCTGAAGGCACTAATTAAATTGGCTAGTGACGTCACTCAGTTATGACAGCTATTTTTGCCACATGTCAGATGGGATTAACACTTATTATTGTGGGTAATAAATAGTTGTCAGGCTAGCGGAGCGCTGTTTCTAGAGCGCAGTCTTTAAGGCTTCTTTTCGCGTGTTACATTATTTAATCGAGATAATAAGTGTCTTAAAATTCAGAAAGTCTTCTCTTTAAAAATTAAAATTCCAGGACCGTATAAACCTGTCATGCGAAAAGGTTGTGACTGCTGTCGCCTACTTGAACAAGGAACAGATTTTTCTCCCAGTCATTTTATTCGAAAAGCAGAAAACTCGAGAAAATCTAGATTTAAAATAAAGGATTGTCGAGATATGTTTGCTAAAAAAGTACTTTGTGCTTTGTACGATGTTATCATTATACTGATGCGAAGTGTTCTCTCATGTAGGGATTGTTGGAAATTTCACTGTGGATTCTAACAACGATCGCCATGTGGACTATTCCATTTTGGATATGGAGCCAACGACAGGACTGCTAAAGGTGTTTGTCCCCGTAAAACCGGTACAGTTATTTGATTTTGATGCAGAATTTGGGGTTACAGGAGGTGGCTACGTATTGGGGCATGGAGAAGAAATATGCCGAAACCAAGGACGCTAAAATCCACTGGCCCGGTCCGGGAGGGCTGCCGCCTGCGGACACTCCGGAATGCGGTTTTGACGGATCCAAATGCCAGCCCGGTACAAGAAATAAATCTACGCAATTTTTGTTTCACTTTGTAATACGGGATTTTTCGTAGTTATCACGACATGGGGAATTGTGTCGATCGTTCTGTCGGTACGTACGAGTTTTGACCTCATGAAAAAAAATTCGTGTAATGAATTTTCCCATGCTGTATAAACTTGAGTTAACAAAACAAAATGGGCGCGAGTAATTTGCTTATTTTTAATCTTCTTCTGGAGAGATATGCAGAGTGCCGACTGGATGAACGAGAACGAAGTGTCTATTTTGCAGGTTGTGGTTATTGCTTTGCTGCTGGGACCATTTTTGATTTGGCGGTAAGGTTTGTTGTTTAATTTTCAATGGTGTCGTTGTGTCGGTAACGAATAACTGTTCTATTGTAGCCATTTCAAGAAAGAATCGGATATAGCTATGATGACCTGGCTGATTAAATACGATGAGTTGGACTGGGGGAATAAGGACGAAATGCGCCGCTCGGACAGTAAACAAAGCTTATTAAAGGTTTGCAAAAATTGCAGAATTAAACTGGCTGAACTGGAAAAAGCAAAAGTGAACCGGCAAAAAAGTGAAAAGTGAATTGGCTCAATCTTCAATTGCTCAATCGTGTACCGTGTACATAATTTTATTTGAGAATGCTGTGAAATTTAACGGTTTCGTGTGAGGTTGATCTTTTGGTGTCTGATGCTTTTCCAACACTAATTTTGAAGAGTGCCAACTGTCTGGTAAACCGCAATCTCACGCAGCTTGAGTTGTGTCTATATTTCCAAAATCATCATTGTTAACGTCCTCAGCAGTCTGCGTTTTACAAAAAATACAGATAAAATTTTTCCCCGGTTCGGTCCCCTCGCAAGCAGATAGATTTTTATGGAAGAAAAATTTAAATTTGATGAACGACTTAAGAAGTTACGCATTCTGCCACCGTGGATAGCAAATTCGAAGATAGCAACTGAATTGGAGAAAACAAAATTGTTATTCGTTTTTGTGCGAATTTTGTGGGTACATACCTAAGTTTCTTTCGGAGTGCTCCGGTAATTAGAGAAGATGGCATGTTGAAAATAATAAATTTAATCCTGAGTTGATATTTCTTTGCATGTTTGACATATTACTTTTTTACGCATACAAATTTACAAAATTTGATCTAAAATGAACAAGAAGATGGTGTGAGACAAAATAGCGATGGGTCGTTGTTGATGTGCTACGAAAAGGACAATAGTATTACGGCCAACTCCTGCGACCCGTCGAAGATTTGCTGTCATTGATGAATGAGCTGGCTACGGTATCGAGCCCATTTTACTTTGGGTAATTCCGAAATTGAGTCTTAACTGAATATAATAGATCTGTAAAAGCTTTCTTACTCTGATAGGGCTCGATCGAGGAAGTTGGTGAATACCATGAGAAATTTTTGGCTGTTTCAGTGTTGATAACGTCAATAATGCCCCGTGCCTGTGCGCCGTTTCCAGGTGCTTGTGTTTGTGAAATGACCTTGTTTGCGCTTGCATTCGGCAGTATTCTCACAGGTTATCGAAGTAATCTTCGTAAAAATAATTACGCTTATCGCGCTTCTCGGAGTTTTGGCAGCGGTTGATTATCTAGGTGGTAAATGATTGCAGGTGAAGGCCGATGACACCATGTCGGTGGATTCGCTGGCTATGGGAAAGTGTAAACAGATCTTCGCGCCAACTGCCACGTACAGGAAGCAGAAGCAGCTGTGTGCCGTAAAAAGACTCAACGAGCAGCATATTCCGCTATCGAGGCCGTTACTGATCGAATTTAAAATGGTCAGTTTTCTACCAAGTGGTACGTAAATCTTTTTTGTCACTCTCTTTTACAGGTTCAAGGTCTGCAGCATGAACATCTCGCGAGGTTTATTGGAGCCTGTTTTGATTCGGTCCCGCCATGTCTATTGTTTGAATACTGCCCGAAGGGCAGTCTTGAAGTACGCCTTGCATTACTTTGAAATACGTACTTATAACATTATTAATTTATTACAAAAACTTCTGTATCGTGTATTTGCATTTATCGGTTATTTTAAACAGTATCATTTCTAATTTTTAAACCATGCACGTATGCTCGTCTATTTATGTTGTCGGCGTAGTATAAGGGCGTTTGACACCCAGGTGTATTACTGACAAAATTCATTACTGTTGAATTTAAAGAAAATACTTGTAATGGGGAATAACCGCAGTGAAAACTCTTAATTATAGATTTTTTTGCATTGTGAAATCAGTATCTTGACCGATAATCGTTAAGAAATGCTGACTTGTCTTTTAATTTCCATTTGCTGACGAGCTGATTGATTTTGCTTCTAAACAGTTCTTTGTCTTTAGGACATATTGGAGAATGAGGAGATTCAGTTGGACTGGATGTTTCGGTTTGTTTGAATACCTGCAACCTGATACGTATGTAATATAACCGTGTAACATGTTTCCATCATTTGCAGGTATTCTTTGATGCATGATCTCACCAAGGTCAGTATCGCTTTTCGTTTATAAAGTGTGCTCGGTATTTTGTTTTATGTTTTTGATGTACTTTTAAACAAAGCCGGTGAATTTTTCTGATGGAAATTTGCTGAGATTTAATAATAGTACTCAAAAATTTCAAATTATATAACAATTTATTCGACAAGCATGAGATTGGCAGAATTTTCACTGAAAATCTTTGACATTTGTTTGATGTTGCACACTGATCGCTTGTTGCCCAGCCCCTTGACTGCCGTTTGTTCAGAATCAGCAAATTTTGATGTTTGTGGATAGGGCATGAATTACATTCACGGCAGTGAGCTACGCACCCACGGCAATCTAAAGAGCTCCAACTGTGTGGTGGATAGCCGGTTCGTCTTGAAGATAACCGGTTAGTTGTTGTTTGGCCGCGTTGCCCAATCTCCACTGATCACGTTAGCGGCTGGCAGGCAATCTTCCCATGATGGCGCTGGGGGAGCGCTTGGCCCACTTAGCCCTGATTGATGTATCAGCGTAATTGTGTTGCTCTTGCAGATTATGGGCCGCATTGTATGCGCGAGGCCGAGGAACCAGTGGAGAGTGATGTCGGCTCGCATGCCTATTGGAAAAGTAAGTTAAAACTTGACTTCCGCTCTTTTGCTACCGCTGTTCTCCTGTCTGCGATGCTGTGCAAGGATCGCTGGTCGGAAGGAGACAAATAGTCAGCAACAGCATGCCGTTTTTTTGACAAACACGGTACAAGCAGGGAGGATTTTTTGCAAAATCATCAGAATGCGGTATCCCGTTGTAGCGTTCTCATGTGCAATCTGTAGAGTGGGGGATTACGTACACTGTTGATAACTGTAGTGTGTGGGCTCGCTCAAAGAACATTGAAAAAATGCCATTTCCTATTGCATAAATCTCACATCGCATAAAACTCTGCACAATAAGAGCATAGCCTTGGCTGGATTTCAAAATTACTTTTTGTCGGAACTTTTGGTGTTATTTTTACTGTGGTTTTTTTAAATTGGTACAAACTTGGGAGATATAATTCCATCAAAGATATTTGCTAGCAGTTAATACAGGATTCTGTTAACCTAAGTACTATATAAATTCTTGATAAAACATGAGGCAATAGCGGCTGGATTAGACAGGTAGTTAAGCTGTTTGTCGTAATGCACCTGGTTGCAGGAATTACCGAACCAGTACAGGAATTGAAAAATTAAAGAAACTTGAAATCGACGAAATGGTCTAAGTTAACTTTTTGACGGTGTTATCCAGAACAAGTACCATGCGACCGGTTACGTTGTTTTTACCTTGTTTTTGCTGTTTTGTAATGCATATTTTGTGCAATCATCCATCCAGTGGATGGGTGGACTCCATGTAGACTTTAGAGTATACTCTGTAGAGGGTATCCCTGCTGCCAAGCGGAACCATCTCGCTCACCACTTTACGTTGTCTGATCGAGATGTATTTTGACAGAGAAACTGTGGACGGCACCGGAACTGTTACGGCAGCGCCGTCCCAACCATTCCGGTACACAGAAGGGCGATGTGTACAGTTTCGCCATCATCGCCCAGGAGATCATCTACCGCAATGGACCCTTCTACATCAGCGACACCGATACAACCGCCGGCCGGACACCAACCAATGATCCCAAGGGTACGTCGAGAACGCCTGAATTGGGTGCGGTAGTCATTGACTCATTGTTGATAACTTGCTAGTCAGTAAGTAATGTATCAAACTTCGGCGGGAGGAGCGATCGATACAGGGGCGGGGTGAGAGTGGGGAAAAGCAGTGGAAGAGATGGATGGTGGGAGAAAGTATGGGTTTAGATGGATGGAGTTGAACGCGGATAGTGGCAGATGTGTTGCATGGGGCTTTTTTTGTTCACGTTTTGCTGGTAGCGTGAAAGCAGTGTGTGCATTCCCGCATTGGTCATTAATTTTCTGATGTCTGTCGTCTAAGTTAACGCTGTTTTTGGAATTTATGGATACGTTGCCGGAGCATTCAGCACGTAAGTGGTGTTTGAGTTTTCAGCTTTCGATCGTTTGATGATGAGAGTTTTTGCGAAGAATAAGGATTTTGTTGCATGTTTTCTCGATTGATAATTATCTTACCTGCTCCGTTGCAGAATATAAAATTTTTGATGTTGGGATTCGGTGTGAAAAGGGTGCGATCGGGTGCCCCAACTTTGCTTGTTCAGGCTAAAATACAATGATTGTAGTGTTGTGGATACGATTTTCCATGACTGCGTCTGCAGTGAATATCCGTGAAGCTGATTTTGTTACTCTAGTACGAGGAGAAAGCTAATATCTTCGGTAGCGCGTTCAAATTCCTGAGACTCTTCGAACACTGTGGCACTGACTGTGCGCATGCACGATTTGACTAAACAGTCAACCGTAGGAGGTTGCCAGTCTCCGTTTAGCTAGAACGGTGTTGATTGGCGCACCTATCCACGGCGGACGGTCAAGTTAAGAGGATTGACAGCCTTCTTCGGTTGGCTGTTAAAGTCAAATGTGCATGAGCCAAGTGTTCGAAATGACTCGGGATTTTGACTGCGCTACCGAAGATATTAGCTTTCTCCTCGTATATTCGCTAGTCTCCTAAGTTGTGTATGTATTGGAAGTAGATTTTTTTAGTTTGCGATGTGCGTGGTGTAAATATGGCAGTATTCTTCGTGCTTAAGGTAAACCTTTTTTTTATACAGCTCTTTCTGCTATACGTGTGCATACTTTACATAGTACACACTGCAGTTAAAATAGTTGATATCTCGTTAGAAAAGGTAAGATATAGCTGCTTTAAAGGGGGAATCCACAAAGTTGGCGGAACATTTTATCGCTTTTATCAGCCAGTTTTGAAAATCTTGTTCCAAATGTAGTGATTTGTATAGATATCCACAGTTTCAGGTAGCATCGGTCTTTTCGAAACGCTTTAGAAAAAGTTAAACTAGTTCATATTTGTTAGCAATGTGAAAAGACATATTATATGCGCAGGCCGTGTTTCGGATTTGGATTTATTTTAAGCGTTTTTTTACGGCTGAAGGGAGTGTGCCGGTTTTATTGTCGGATGGCACGGCTCGGTATATACAGATACAGTGCCCTCCGTGAATGAAGGAGTAGCCGTGTTTGCCCACGAGTGGCAAACACGCGCGCCCTTATATTCCGTACAGATTTTGTTTATTTTGATGTATGGGAGTATTACAGCCTGGCCAAACATTGACAAATGACACTGGCCTGTCGGGCGCTGGGGGGATTTGAAATATGAGCTTGGTAATGATTTTTTTCCGGTCTGTAGTGCCTGGTGTGTGTTCCGGTAAAAGGTGCTTGATGCAATTAAAGCTCATAAATCACCATTTATTCTCCTTCCTCTACACCGGAAATGGCTATCTGCGAGTTGGCTGCATGTATGGTTATTGATTACGTTTGGGTGGCGTGTGATTTGTTTAGATTGTTGGTTCTGTATGGAATGGTTTATTTACTGGGATTGTGTGTAGGTGCGAAAGTTAGGATTAGTTTCGTGTACTTCTTATGCGATACATACTGCTTAGTCACTTGTCATTTCGTTTTTTATCCTACTACTATTATTTTTGGCGGTTCTAGGTTTTTCCTGAAACTTTTAATGTAATTATTTTTATGTTTTTGTTCTTGCGCTTGAATTGAAATGATTTATGGGTTGTATACGGTTTTGTTTTTTATTCTTTTTAATTCAGTTTGCTTTCTTCTGCTGTACCGCAGTAGTATCTATACTCGATAAAACGCAGCAGAACCACTCCATGCGCGTTTACTGTTGTGTTACTAGGGTAGTGTTTTGTCAAACATTTTGGCGCCGAATAAAACAGTTTATTGTGTATATTCCATTTGCATACGCGGATCTTGTTGTTTATGATAAATGTCCAACGCATAATGTACGTTCGTTTCAGAAGTTGCATTAACGTGTAAGGTATTAGAGTGAATGCCTCTGAATTAATTATTAGCGCATGATAAGAATGCTTCGGCTCTTAATGCAGCCGGAAAACGGATAAAGTTGGCGTTGGGATAATGATTACATTATGGTCATGGGCTGTGTATTGCAGAGATAATTGACAAAGTGATTCAAGTTCAGCCGATTCCCTTTCGTCCCACCCTGGAGTCGTTTGCCGTGGAGGACCAGTCGCTGGTGTCGATGATTGAAAAAGCCTGGTAATTTTGTCCCATTTTTTTGCGCCGACTGGCATTTATTCTGGGGATTATTCAAATCCATCGGGGGGATTGACGTGCGCGTTATTATTGTGCTGTAACAGTGTGACTATATGTCTGTATGTGACTGTTGTGGCAGGAGTGAAGATCCCAATGTCAGACCGGATTTCAATTCACTTAGGACCATCATCCGCCGGCTCAATAGGTTAGTTAACTGTTAGTGGCTGTTTTCGGTAGAAAGTGACAACTGATTATTACGGTTAGGGGAAAAAACGTTTTTGAACGCTGTCGGGATTATTGGAAAATTTCCGGCTATGCTGTTATTTGCATCTTACTAATATACCGATATAGACATTATACTAGGGTAGGATGCTGGATTTTATGCTTTAATTTAAATACGCTTATTAATTGTTCCTAAATAATCCAGATATTCGAAAATTAGTCTAACTAATTGGTAATATTTTACTGGCAAGATGAAGAAGCATTGGAGGGTACGAACTATGAAACGATCGAATTAAGTGCTGCTTTGGTTATGATTTGTAGCGCGTTGTAGAGCGATGGCGTTTTGTCAAGTCGTCGGTGGTAGGACTGCTTTAGAAAATCGCAGCCAGTAAAATGTTGATCTCGTTGTTGTGAACGCAAATTCGCATACGATCTCTATTTTTCTACCAAATGGAAGCTTCAGTTTTGCAATTTTAAATAAACACTAGCGGGAACATAATCGGGTTGTGCAGCGGGTTGGATTTTCCTGATGATAATAGCATAGTGCTTGTCGTTCACTAACAAATATTCGAATTCCAGAGACAATGAAAGCGGAAACATCCTGGACAACTTATTAAAGCGCATGGAACAGTATGCCAATAATCTGGAGAGCCTGGTGGCCGAACGCACAGCAGATTACCTGGAACAAAAACGAAAAGCGGAAGAGTTACTTTATCAGCTGTTACCGGCGTTAGTGACATTTTTTGGCAAAATTTGTTAGTCCTATGCTGATGATGTCTTTTCTACAGGCAGGTTGCTGGTCAGCTAATCAAGGGCCAACCGGTCAAGGCCGAATCGTACGATTCGGTTACCATTTATTTCAGGTAAACGAAACTTATACTTCTTCAGATGTTGACAACTTCACATTTTACTTCCGTAGTATCCAGTGTAGTATCCTAATGAATAATGGCTTAACAAAAATTTCTGTTTTTGTAAACTGACATGTATTTCATTTGGCATGGAATTGTGGGTTACCGTTGATCGTTTAGTTTGTCATTTTTCTGTCGGTACTTCGGGTTGAAGAAGCCAGTTGTGATGTTTACTCGTATCACGTATGTAATACTTGTACGTCAAAGCATTTACTCACTTCACTGGTGCTAGAACGTAGTGAAATGGCACGTAATTCAATGCCCATGACGGTTCGTTTTCGAAATGCTCATAAAGCACGGTTTCAGGAGGTCACGTATGAGTAAATCCAAGATTTTTGTTACAGTGATATTGTCGGTTTTACGACACTATCGGCATTAAGTACTCCAATGCAGGTAAGCATCCGTTTCTTCCTCCACGTAATTTGCTACAACTGAATCCCGTTAACACGATTGACCAGTGTTCATTATTGGATTTAGGTCGTGAACTTCCTAAACGATCTGTACACGTAAGTGTGTCCTTGAGTGGGACGGATCGATTAATTGCCGCTATCCCGTGTCGGCAGCAATTGCATTGTATAATCCCGCGGTCTGTCTGTGTTCTTTGTAGATGCTTTGATGCCATTACGATGGGTTTTGATGTGTACAAAGTGGTAAGTCAAGTGGAGTGGCTTGTAGCCGGTTTAAGATTGTGCTGTGCTGATCGATAAAATGTGTATGTTGTAGGAAACCATTGGTGACGCTTATGTGGTAAGGATATTCTAATCTGATTCCGTTGACGCGCGCTTGTCCTGCCCTAACCGGGACAGGCCGTATAATGGCGGCTTAATGGAGCTCTACGCTTTTTTATCTTATTCTGTCCGTTTTTGCCTGCAGGTCGTTAGTGGACTGCCACTGCGTAACGGTAAGTGAATTTTGGCTAATGATCCATTCGGGGATGGGACAGAATTGCGCCGCTTCGTACGTGGCTAATCGTACCAACTGTGACGCAGTGTAGAAGAAAACTTCGAAGCCGGAGAAACTGGCACGAAAAGCAGTTAACAAAATTTTTCGTAAGAATTTTTCATTTTGACTCTCTCTGAGGACCTTCAATTTTGCAAACACATGAATTTTCAAAATTTGTTTACCGCATTCAGTTCTCTTAATCCGTTTTTTTGGGATTGAAGTGGTATTATATAGCGAGTTTTCTTTTAAGTTGTAGGCTGGGAGTTTTATTTGAGTAATAATGGCGTAAATGGTACCGTACTTTAATTTAGAAATTATCTGATTTTAAAAATAAATCTAATTTAATTTTAAAAATTTTAAAACAATTTCTGTTTGAAGCAACGAATTATACATGTTTTGTTTGGTTTTCCGCTGAACTCCACCGGTTTCTGCATTGTAGTGTGCAGGTGTTTAGGAACTTACAATTAGGAAGTACATATTGCGTAGCTTTGATAATCACTGTAGTGCAATGGCAGTTATAACGCCCTCTTTAGCGATGTGAAAATCTACTGAAACTTTTGAAAAGGTATTTGTTCAGGCCGTGTACTCCCCTTTTTTTTATAACATTGCTTGGAGGAGCTGGCTTAAGTGTCTTTCTGATGGTATATTATTGTGTTTGTAGGAGATCTCCATGCGCGGGAAATTGCCCGAATGTCGCTCAGTATTATCGAAAAAGTGAAAAAGTTCGAGATTCGCCATCGACCGAATGATCAGCTGCGTGTTCGGATTGGCATGGTGAGTGTTGTGGCCATCCCACGATCACGACATTTTTACTGCAGTTTTATGCACTTTACACAAGGTCGTATTGTCCGATTTTTTTCTATTTCCCTTGTGCGTTATATGGTCAGGCTATAAATAACACGACGATCCAGGGTGGGTGATTGAATTTTCCCGAGAATTTGGTTCGACTTAGCACGAATAACGTTAAAGTTTATCGTTTGTTACGTTACATGGCGGTGTACGTGAACCGAAATTTATGTATGCCGGTAGGAGCTGGATTAACAAACAATATTTGGCACTTTTATTTAAAATAATTATGATTTCAAGTTTAATTTCGAGCTACATAGGTACGTAGTTTTGAATTCAAAAAATAAACGTCTGTGATACTGTACACTCTGTATTTAAATGCAGCATGTACCATTTTATCGCACTTTTATTTGTTTTTAATTGCAAATCTGCGAAAGTGAAAGAAGTAAGATTGATGATTGTTTTGCCCATTGCAGCATACTGGCCCGGTTGTTGCTGGAGTCGTCGGATTAAAAATGCCGAGATATTGTTTGTAAGTGGAAATTGCGATCGACGTTGCTGGGTTATTTTATTATTCATGATGTGCTCCTGATTAGATTCGGCGATACTGTTAACACGGCGTCACGCATGGAAAGCAACAGTCTACGTAAGTGATGCAAGGATGCTATAACCGGGCTTTTATTCTCACTTTGCGACCTTCAGCGGCTTTGTTAACCCCATAAAGCAGCCCCCTCAGTGGCAAAGTTAACCGCTGTTCTTTTCTTACGACGATATTGCATAGTGCCTCTTCGGGCGTGATTCTCGTCAACTCATGTGAATCGCTGCTCTCTTTCTGTAGCTCTTCGAATTCACTGCAGTGAAGCGTGTCGGAATGTCTTGGTTAAGTTCGGCAGTTTCGATCTGGAACTGCGCGGGGAACTGGACGTGAAGGTCAGTTTTGCCCTAGAATTTATCGCCAGTTTGTTCATGAACACTGTTTACAGAATTCACTTATGCAACAAACAAAATGGTGTCTTCAATGGTTAAAATTTTGTACCATTTTAAATACTTTATACACTATATACACAGATTTAAAAAAGTTTGACATTAGCTGTCGATATTCATGTTATCGATATTCATGTTATCACTGTGAGAGATAACGTAGTGCGACGGCTTAATCGCTTTTCCTCCGCGATATATGGGGCAAAATTACCGCAATTGAAGTTCGAAAAAGTGAAAAACACATGAAAAGGCAAATTGCTGTTGTCTATCTTTAATTTAGAAATGATTATTTTTAGGTTTTTATACTTCATTATTTTTTCTTCTAGTTAGTATGGTTGCTTAACGGTATTAGATATTAGAAAATCTCCATGCAGATGAAGATTACTTGTTGCTACATTACACGAACAACGTCGTGCGACGTGCGGTGCGACGGTTGACGATTCTTGCAGGGAAAAGGTCAAATGGTGACCTACTGGCTGAACGGCGAGCATCCCGCCCAGCCGGCGCTGACGGCCAACGCGCCCCTATCTGATCCTCTTGATCTCAAGCGTACGGTCAGCGCGTCGCGGTTGGCCAGCCACACGACGGTGCTGCCGACGGTGTCAGCGCCGCTGTTGCAGAATGCCGCGGGGGATCCGCACCGCGGCCTCATCATGGTCAACGGACCCAAGCTGACCCTCATCGACCACGCGGTGCGGGAGGATGCCGGTGATGCAGTGGGAGCAGTCCAAAGAGACCATCCGCTGATTGACGACGACTGACACAACCGATTTCATGCGGGCCTGGATTTCTTATTAATTTTGTTGTTTTTCTCTCTTTACTTTTCTTAATTCACAGAGTTTATGATCTTGCTTGAATTTGGCTTTTATGAAGTGGGGTTTTTAAGAAGCGTTAGTGCTACCTCTGGTGGAATGCGATTTTTTGGGGGTTTTTTGTTGTGATGTTGGGATTTTTTTTCGTGACAGAGTATTATTGCGATGAATTATTAGGAACTGATGTTCAATGGTTGGAGTGGGTTAATTCGGTGCATCGGACAATTTTGCGATGGGAGGAAGGTGTTTGATTGATTTTAGCATGGTAGAAAAAACCCGCTTCATTATATTGATGCGCTGTATTAATGAAGTATGTAGCACTGGGAGTGCTTACTTGGCGGCGTTGGCCGAAGTGATTCTGTGCGACCGAACTCCCGCTGAAGTGATCGGACGCGATTGTTCTCACATCGGGGTGGAAAGTTCCCATGCGCTGGCATTAAGAATGTACAGTACATGGTACAAGTACTTGTACGTACGTGATGTCTGCCTGACTGACAGTGAACTGCCGCGCATATCTGTACTGTGCTTTGATCGTGTGCGTTTTGCTTATTTTTGCGATCAGCGAAAAGCCACTTTTTCTGTATGGCCTCAATCGTATCTCACATAGGCTTGCTTTGTAGAGAAAAAAATCTAAAACTTTTTAATGTTTTTGAATAAATCGAAAGAAAAAGATTTCTATTCCAAAAAGCAGGAATGATGGGAATATACGTCCCACAATAGGGTCTACGAGGAACCGCATTTTTAGCCGTGCCAGCCCGAATATGAGCCGATCTCCACTGCATACTTAAAGCATGGGGCCAGCCACAGAAACTCGTGTGCGGTAGCCCTAATGTCTTAATCATCGTGACAGACGATTTTAGCTCATGTTCTGTGGCTTCCCAAAATTCTAAAAAGATGTAACAAGCTAGACAACTCAAAATTTTTGAAAGTATGTATCAAGTTTTATCAGTTTAAGCAAGGCAGACAGGCTAAATGCAAGTTTATCAGTATGCCGTTTGCCAGGGAACCTAACGTACAAAACACCAGATTTCATAGTTCGCACTTATTTCAAGACCCGGAGTTTCCCGGGGAGATTTTCATCATTTCAAAAGATAAATGCAACAGAACAGCAACTTCTGTATAGTGCGACTGGGTCTACAACGTTTATAGTGGCTCAATGTAGTTGTGAGCGATGGCTGCACTGGCGTTCACCCTCACGACCATGGCGCTACGCTGCGGATGACGTGACTGTGTTGTGTCTCTTCTGATTGGCTGATGGCTAAAGCCGTTCATTGTTTGCACCCAAGTGGGTGGCGCTTAGCGCGGCTGAGACCGTGATGGATTTGGCTCTCCGATCAGTGTTGTTCAGTCAGTTGATCAGTCACTAATAAAGTTTGCTTATGCTAGTGGATGCCGTGTGCTGCACATTTATCCAGTTCTCATAGCATAGCACGCTACACGAGATCCTGTCAGTCTGGATCATCGTCCTAGATTCATCCTGAGTCCACGGTAATATGGTAGCAGAGCCGTGACCGACGGTTTCTGATTTGAGTTGGTTATCTGTTTGGCGAACGGCCACATTCAACTGTTTGGCGAACGGCCATATTGATCTGGATCGATATCGATCACATTGCACCAGTAAGGCACTGGTTTTCCTCATCTGAACGAGCAAGGCGCACCTCATCGATCGGATTGCCAGCGTCAACGGCAGCATTGACTCGAGTATCTCCTGTAGGAGAACTCGTCTTGTGCTTCAAGTCAGACGGCAGGCGGCTACGGTGTGAGTTTCTCCTGTCGGAGAACTTGTGCTGTTTCCTCTGCTAGGCAGCGGGTTCCTCTTTAGAGGTCGAGGCTGTCGGGCACAAGAGCCGAGAAGCCACAAGTTGGCAGCACCGAAGGAGGTGCCAAGATCAGTTTCAAACGCGCTCCATCAAACTGGTTGTAGAGCGACCTGCTGGTTGGCCTGACAAGCCCAGCAGAAGGCTGAATAGGTCGGGCAGGAAGGCGCCACAACCGTACGGAATACGGCTGCGCGGAATCGGTGTGTGGAGAAGGAAATTAGATCATTGGGATCATCTTTTTACGGAAACGGAACGGTAACAGATAAAACACCGTTATTAATTATTGGATTAGGTGAGGCGGAAAAAGCGCAATTCTCATGGGTCTGTACTGAGCCGAGCTAGACATAGGCGGAGTTTTGCACACGGAGCGCAAGTCTGGCCGTTGATCTGTGACGTCAGGCCAGTCAGAAAATTTTAACAGACGCACGTGATTGGTCAGTTTTCTGAGCTCTGATTGATCAAAATTTTAACTGGTAAAATTAAGCTAAAACTATCTCATAACGAGCTGATAAGCAGCGCAAACGAACTTTTTTCATCATAACTGACCTAATCTCAGTTAAAAGAAGTTGATTATAATCGAAACGAGTTTACCGAAAAGTGGCCACATCTGAGATCGATCAGATCGAGATCATCAGGCGACCTGTGACCTTTGATCAGATTAGATAATGACCTCTACCGAGATCGTTCATTTGAACTGGATACGGATACGAACTCCAAACGAGCTTTTTAGCAGTTTAAGTGATATCAGCAGCTGAATGAAGTTATTTCTGAGGTGAACCTCTCGATCTTTTTATCAAAAAAGTGACGTTTAGAAACGAACTTGATCGTAAATTATCATATGAAAAGTAATCTTCAGGAACTCGAACGACCTCATTATAATGTGTGTGTGAGCAACATTAACAGGTGCGTCTGAGTTATCCGATCGACAATGGAAAAAGACATCACCGAACCGAAATCTAATAGCAGTCAAGGAAGCCGAGGCTCCCGCGGATCTCAGCAAGGTGCACTCGATCCGTATAAGAGGGACCTTATCTCATACACACGACCAGTTGAACATGGTCGGAGTACTCGAGCTCCTAAAGCCTTTGTGAGGAAGGACTTACGAGGCTCGGACATGACATACCAGAAAGCACTCGAAGCAGTATCAGCTCAGGAGAGCTCCAGCGATGATCAGAAGCGAACTCCCGCGTCTGCGGCGGGAGGTAGTGAGGTGAACCAGGAGGTCACCAAAGAAGGAACGAGCTCAGCACGAGCTATGGAAATGGACCTGACATCACAGAACGATGTAGCAGCCAGCCCTGCTATATCTGAGCAGGATAAGAACGTGAGCCTGGCTAAACCGGACCTTAATGAAAAGCCGAAAGTCACAGAAGAAGATCTCAACGAACTTAAGTTGGATGAGCTCTCAATAGGTGATGAGACCTCAGCCGAGGATCTCTTCGAGATCCCAATGGCATTTGATGAGGTGATGCGAGACCAGAAGTTCAACCGCGGAAACAAAAAATCGTACTTCACCGACGACGACGTTACTATAAACATGTCGTTCAGAACTGCAATCAAGGAAGCTGATCGAGCACAAGGATTAACGCCGTTTACAGACATCCCCGAAAGTCTGATTGAACGAAATCAGACAGGAAAAATCGTCAACGTGCGCTCACCATCTCCGAACAGCCCGACTTCTAACTTGAAAAAACGTGTTAGAGAGCTGGAGGTCTCCCTGGAGGAAAAAGAATGTCAGATTCTCCAGAAGAAACAGGAATATCAGAACAGGTTGGGCTCTCTCGAAACTCGTATATTCGAGATGGAGCAACAGCAGAGCATTTTGGAAAACATGGCCACAGATTGGAAGATTCGATATGAACGACAAAAGGAACTCGCAGAAGAATCAGTAAAAGTCGCTGATGACAGAGATATGGAAGGATATATGTATCCTTCGCTTTCGTGATTTGTTCCGCCACGTGATTCACCTTCTGCTACAATTGAGTGTACTCTTCGGCTGCGGATCTCAGCTGATCTCTCCATTTGATCGCTTCATCTTCATTTGACATCGCGGTCGTTGTCATTGCGATTAACTCGGTATTGAGTCGTATAGCCTCTTGTATATGCTGGTGAACTTTTTGCTGCCATCCTTTGTCCTTTCGTTCCAGCGCTGGAACCACTGTGTCCAGGCGGAGAGCCTCCTGCTCCCATTTTAGGCCTTGTTCAGCCGCTTTTTGACCAGCTTTTGTGAGTACCTTACTCTCTTCCGCCACTTTTTTAATATCATTTTTCAATAGTTCCGCTTCAGTGGCTGTGAGATTTCTCAGGTCCTTTGCCACCTGGACGGCATCATCAGCTCGTTTCTGATGATCTTTCGATTCTTTTTGAAGGTTTCAATAATCTCATCTTGTTGCTTCAGATCCTTCCTGAGCTTGAATACCTCCGTTGTGATGGTTGTCAATTTATGTGTGACTTCAGCCAGATTAGTCGCATACTCATTTCGTTTCGCTTCTGCATTATCTGCCTTTTTACGCAGTTCATCACATTGATCCTTCAGTTCAGCGATGTGTCGTGATCTTTCGGCAGACCCTTCTGACAGACTCTCATTTAGATCGTTTTCTGCACGATGTGAAGGACGTACAGGAACAATCGCTGAAACTCCAGAATCATTTGCAAAAGGTTAAACAGGAGAGGGAACAATTGAAGACAGAGAAAGAGGAGCTCACCCTCAGAGTAAAACGTCTCGAAGATGAGAACAAGAAGCTCCAGATAACAAACAATTCAACAAACATAAAGATGAGCAACTGCTGCAATTCGGTGTGAAAAAAGACTCAACCGAATCACCCCCTCCCAGTTACAGTAAGGCACGTGAAACGGGCGGCAGCTTCCACTTTGACATGCCGCTACGAACGGGTGGCGGCACGGGTGGCATTAAAACAGAAAAAGGAACGGAAAAAGGAACCGAAAAACACCGAGTATCAACCCCCATCAGATACCCAGCCACATACAAGTTAGGATGATCCCTCGCAGTTTGCTCGACAGTCAAATACGAGAGGCAGAGATAGTAACCGGGACGAACTCCCTCTCCTCCATGAACATGGTGGTGGATATTTCAGAGAGGTGCGAAATAATCGAAATGAAGACGTTCAAGAACGCGCGCCCCTTCGCGATGAAGATAATGATGCAAGAGAGCTAGCCAGGTCGATCAAATCCATGGGTCGGAAAACGACGCTCGCAACCTTTGACGGTAATCGCGATGCACTGGATGGATCCGTCTGGTGAAAGAAACACAATGGACATATGAGCTGACCGATGCTCAAATGATCATCGATGTCGCCAGCGCCGTTAAAGGACCGGCGAAAACCTGGTTTGACGGAGAAAGAGATATCGAGGATGCAGAAGCTGAAACATATACGATCATGCAATGGATGGCTAAATTCAAAGATGAGTTCGGGGATCGAGATGAACAAATGGCCCGCCAAACGACGTGGCCCGCCGAACCATATAATTTGACCAATACCCTAAAGCTTAGCCGGCTTTAAGGTGCTTGGTCACTTGAGAGGACAAACCCACCAGGAGTCCAATCCCGCCTGAGGCATGTCAGAGACCTCATAAGGACCATCCCTACCGGGACCGGTCCACCATACTCCCGAACCAGGAAGGGGACGAACCGTCCTCGCGAGAGCGACAGTGCCTTCCCTAAATCGCGCAGCTGATTTACCCATACAGGACACCTTGGAAATCTTCGTGAACCGTCGCCCCGGATCTACAAGACCAGGACAGATCCTGTCGGATCACACCGTTGACTGGAGACCCCGTGGACACCTCGCCCTGTGGAGTCATCGTAATCGGAACAAGTATTTTTGTCTAGTTTTTAACCAAAACTTGGTGTTTTCTAGCCTAATAAAAGAAACTGATGTTTTTATTTACCTTTCGCATTTAACATGAGTTTTATAAAGCCCTTTTTATTTTAATACCTATCACCGACCGAAAAGCCCTCATACATCACTGATCCGATCACTACACCGGGTGCACTCCGGATTTAGGCCGTGAATGTGTATATAGTGTGTGTATAGCGCTCTGTGAACGCTCGTGCGCAAAAGGTTCCGCCCACCACGAGTGCAGCAGCTGCCGATTGGCCAGTGCAGACAAACTGTGCGCTGGGTAAGCGCGCAGTATAAGCGGCACGAGTGGCTTGGCCACCTGCGTGCGGGCGACAGCAAGCCACGAGAGGCGTCAGCCGCCATGAGTGTGCGGTCTCTTACATGTCTCTGGGCGGAAGTGGGAGCTCCTGCGAGCACTGTCCCAACTCTATCCATGGAGAAACCTAAGGATAGCCTAAGAATACACTAAGGAACTTAAGCTTAAGAATATTTTAAGAAACCTAAAATTACCTAAAATAATCTAAAAAACCTTCAGAATCACAGTCAGACTTTCAATCAGAGTCAGACTTTGAGCAGTCAGAGTCAGAGTCTGATTGTGAGTATGGGCCGTGCACCAGCTACCCTGGCCGCACAGACTTTGTGGTTTTTGTTGTTGGTTCGCTGTATGTTTTGGGGCATTTTCATCCCTTTATTGTCACTACGTTCCAATAAAGTGTGCGTGTTTGCTCCCCTTTGCTGTCATATCTGACAAAAAGTTAAACAGTGTATAAAACTGTAAACTCAGAAGTAAGTACCTGTCAGTCTGTCACCCATTCAATTACAGTACTATAGGTGGCCATTATTTGGACGACCGTACGGGTACGCTTGCCGTATCTTTGTGGTTCGCCTGATTGTATACAAACTACAAAGTACATGGGATAAAAGACGGAAAACCTACCGCACCGTTAGCACACATCAAGCTTCCAAATTGGCGGCACGCCCAATGCAACTAAGCGTAGTGCGAACAATAGCTGTACAAATAAGTGTGCATACCTATTTGGCACTTAACAAATTGTTAGTTAATAGTACTAGTTACTACTAAGTCGGTAGTCTCTTTGCAATTATTATCATTATTATTATTATTCTTATTATTATTGCAACTACAGTAGCCAAACTCCATTAAAGGAGACTTTATACCCTTAGGTGAAAACCTTTGGGCTTTTAGGCTATTGGAAAATTTTTTGTTTAATTTTGAAAATTTTATACTTTTTTTGGTTTGATTTTATGAGATAAAAGTTACCCAATGCAATTGATATTTTGAATCGACCCGATCCAAATGGTGTTTTAGTAAATAATTCGTGGTATGGTTTCAGTAAATAAATAAAATAATACAGCAAACATTAAAATCCTCGCACAGGATTTATTTAAGCAAGTGTCGAAATTTCAATCATATATGGCACAGCATTCTAATGCATTATAGCAAAGCAGACTCAGCAGATATGCTTTTCAGATCATTCCTTTCTCCCATCCTAAGCAGCTGAGAGTTAACAACCAAAAAACCTTTACATTTTGAATAAGCTGGCTCAGAATTGTAAAAGTGCACAGACTTAAAAGGGGAGCGAGCGAAATTTCCTAAATTTTATCCTTTTGTTTTCAGACCCGGAATATCTCCGCCAGGCCAAGCAAAGCCATTCTGCTCAGCGTGCACACCTCCATACATCTCAGGTCGATTTCATTCCAGCATTTCAGTGTGCCGTCTGCGTGGAATCCACTAAACCTGTGAACAAACAATAGTATTTTGTCGGCCGCTCAAATTAATTTCTCGTGCCGTACTCGGGCGCAAACATTCACACGGACCGCCCCAGCTGATTTTTGGTAAAACAGCATTTGCACTGAATCAGTTTCCAGTAGTCAATAGTCTAAGTACTTGCAAAATGGAATTATCAAAGAAAATATTACAGATGGAATGAGAATAGTTGTTCCGATACTCACTTCGTCGCAGCAAACAGAATGTACAAAGGACGTATCAAAAGTAAGTTTCGCTATTTTGCCTCCCTGCCATGTGAAGTGATACACAACTGATATATTTTTGTTACTTAAGCAATTATGTAAACTATCCAGGAAAATTATAATCAAATGGTTTGATGAGAAACGGGAGAAAGGAGAAATAGAATGGCTTGTAGTTTGTACCACTTTTTCAGCTTCGCCACGAACTTTTCAAAAACGCATTCATTCTTGTATCACTTTCTCGTACTGTACTACCTGTTGAGACAATGGTGGGGTGGTCGGTTTAGCAGTGGTGGATTCGTAGCTTTTCCCATAGACTTTGTATGTTACAGCTTTTTAAAGTTTTCTTTCAAACTTAACTTTTTCTTTGAAAAATGATTTGTGATGGCTAATCTGCACGTTTAGGGCTATCGAATGATACATAGCCAAGGAAGTTTAAGCAAGTGCGTCGAGCTGGCGAACTCAACAAAGATTAAGGCTTTACGCGATTATTATATAGAGAAGAGATACTGATACAGTACTTGTACAGTACAGTACTTGTACAGTACAGTATTTGTACAGTACAGTACAGTACTTGTAGCCAAAGAACGCAACTATTTGTATCGCTGGGCTTGTGCTACCAGGTACCTACGTAAAGTTTCGTTTTGCCGTGGGATGTAACGGAAAATAAATTTTCAATGAGCTTACACTGATAAATACGCTCGGATGGTCTCCCATTCCTCTGGATAAGCGAGTGTCTGCACCCAACGGACATGAACATTCTTGACCTTCATATAAACTTCGTCCTCGATAGGTGGGAAATTACTGTCCAGAGCCCACATGAATTTGCCAATCATGCTCTCCATATCTTGGCTGCAATCCAAAATCAGCTTCGGGATCGTGATTTGCATTTTATCAATCTCGAGCACATCGCCCCAAAAAATCGAGGACTCGTGCATGAAAGGCTGGATCCACTGAGCCTCATGGGTTGGCAAAATCTTCCGGCCGATCGGAAAAGGGTTGAGAAATACTGCATGCACAGTTCTGCCAAAAATTTTCTTTAGGTTCCAGTTGTGTAGCACGATGCGTTGGCAGCTATTGTGGGAGAAGTCTAACCATATTGTCGCCCCATGCCATGCGAAAAGCTTTCTGTTAGGAGATTCAGAATAATCAACGCGATTGTATAGGTTTAAGGAATCGGTAATACTGAAATCTTTGAAAATTATTGCCGGCAGCTTGATCCCCATGATTTCCAATAAATCTGCTAAATAGCTAAAGGGGAAAAACGGCTTCACTATCGTGAGGCTTTTTGTCGTGGAGCGGACGGTACGGCTAAGGAGCGATGCTGTTTTGTAGCAATTTAATTCGCCTGATGTTGCCTTTTCAGCACACGTGTCCAAGCAGATTCTGATGTGTTCTGATGCGCCACGGTTGCTCAAAAGTTGCAGCCATAAAACACACACTCTGTAAAAACAGAAACGATAGATCAGTAAAACAAGCTGGACGGCTGACTTCGAACGCGTGAGTTTTGGCAGTCTGAGTTAGAGTTTTAGTGGCCACGGTCGGAGTCAGAGATGGAGCTTGGTTCAAACGCGTCAAGACAGTTAACATTTCGACGGCGACCCAGAACGAATGCACGATGAAATTCTTCTGCTTTTGTTATTAGTTAAAGGTTTTGATGCCCTTTCACTTCGGCCGCACTGAATCATTTCGGCCAACGCTCATTTCGCCCGATGCTCACTTCGGCCGAGGCTTACTTCGGCCAGCACCCAATTCGGCCAACGCTCATTTTGGCTACTGGACATTTCGGCCATCTTGGTTTTTCCAAGTTTCTTAAGTTTTTGGTCTTCTTATACTTTCTGTGCTTTCTCATGCTTTCTCATTTTCTTGCGTATTTTGACATGTTTTCTTTTTCAAGTTTACTTATATCACAAAGGACGCCCTAAGTACGACCCATGCTCAAATTCGGACTTGGACTCGGACTTGGACTACTAAAACTCGGACCACACTTGGACTTCTAAACTTGGACTTCTAAACTTGGACTCTTCAACTTGGACTTTTCTTGGGTTTCTTAGGTATCTTAAAATTTTTAGGTTTCTTAGATTTCTTAGGTTTCTTAGGTTTTTTAGGTTTCTTAGGTTTCTTAGGTTTGTTGGGTTTCTTTGGTTTTATAGGTTTCTTAGTTTTCTTAGGTTTCTTAGGCTCGCTAGTTTATTTCTGAGGAGAAGTCCAAGTTTTGATGTCGACGTCCAAGTTACGAAGTCCGATTTAGGAATCCAGGTTGAGAAGTCCAAGTCCAAGTTAGGAAGTCCAAGTCCAAGTTATCAAGTCCAAGTTTGGTCCAAGTCCAAGTTTCAGTAGTCCAAGTCCGAGTCCAAGTCCGAGCTGGAGCGCGGGCCCCTAAGTACGGCTGTCCGTGGTGATCTCAACGAGAGAGGGCGGCCAGATGAAATCCTAGCTGTTGAAGAAATTCCGAAAAGTGGCGATAGAGCGGAATCAAACCGTTAACCACCGAGTGTAACTCTCAGGTAGCACAGCCCCTGTACCACCGCCGCACTGTTGGCGTGTGTCAGAATCAGACGTGTGGGATCAGACGTGTGGCAGAACTAGCAACTTCCGCCTATTTGGCTTCGGTTTATGCCACATCGTCCCGGGTTTCTGACATTACTTCTCGGACGAAGTGTCAATTGTCATGACGTGGCGCACCAGTTGTGGCAAACAGCATCGGGTGCTAAGCTACCACCAGAGAATTTTCGGCGATTACATGTAAAGCCGGCATGTAAAGCTGCATGTACAGAAAGCATGTAAAGCCGCTTTAGTGAAGAAAACATGCGAAGTTATTGTGGACACGATAGCAAATGACGAAACCCACTGTGCGCGTTTGCTTGCAGTTGCGCAGCCGGAGTCGGGGAAATGTCTGAATGCTCTACCTGTCCCTTCCCTTGGAACATATTAATGTCAGACGAGAGCTTCCGTATAGCGGTTACTACCAATCGGCGCGCCACTCTGCAGTCCTCATCTGCGCACTGACTGTCGTTTGCCTGTGGACGAATTTGGCCACCATGGACTTTCATGTAAGAAAAATGCAGGACGCTACATCCGGCATTCATCTTTGAACGACGTGATTTGCAGAACCCTGGTCGCCACTAATGTACCGGCTGTACTCGAACCGCGAGGGACCAGCAACGAAGACGACCGACGGCCGGATGGAGTATCACAGTTGCCGCGGAGGAACGGACGACGACTGGCTTGGGATGTCACATGCGTGGACACAATTGCCCCATCTAATGTTATCAGCAACAGTACCAAGGCCGGAGAAGCTGCCAAGAAAGAAGAAAAGGGCCGGAAGTACGAATACCTAGTACATACCTTGTTGCTTTAGCATTCGAAACTTTCGGTGTCACTGGCCCCGCATGTCTGAAGTTTTCGCGCGAACTGGGCATGTGGTTAAAGGATGCTACTGGATCCTACAGTTTTTGCTGCAGCGTCTAAGCATCGAGAAATACAGCGGGAATTGCGTTGTCCATTACTTCGACTGTTCCACGTTCTGATGGTTTTACTTCTGTTTATTTTGTTTTGTAATCATTCTTGTTTAGGTGGTGTTATGTTTTCTTGTATTGGGTTTTCTGAAATGTTCTCATATTTTTTAAGACTTCTCTGGTGTTTTATGCACTCTTATGCTTTTTATGTTTTCGCATGTTTTATTTTTCAAAATTATCGGAAGTTTTTCAGAAGCACCTTTTAATTTTAGCCTCCTGTTTTTGTCTTCATTGTAATTATTTTCGTTGGAGTATTGGTGTGGTTCTTAAACATCTGGCTGTTAACGCGGTTCGCATTAAATCCTTCTTGCTCGTAGAATGACGGCCGAAATGTCCTCAAGCCGAAGTGAACATCGGCCGAAGTGAATCTCGGCTTTGGCCGAAGTGAATGTAGCGGAAATGAAAATAGCCGAAGTGATCGGTCGCCAAATAAATAAAAAAAAAGGATTACCTTAGATCCCTTTGCGAGCGTTAAAATTTTGGCCTTCGCTGATTCTAACTATCGCAAACTTTTTCTCAGCGCGGTTGAAGCTATGGTTTTAAACCCTGCAGACAATACGAATCTTTTACCTTTTAATCCGTTCACATGAGTGCAGTTCAAGGCCAAAAAAGACTTCGCTCAAGAGCAATGGCGGCAGATAACCAATGAAAACATCTTCAAATGGCTCATCGACTCCTACATCTACGGGAAACAAAGAAACAAAATATTACAGTAGTCGCACTTTGCCAAATTAGATGTTCTGTTGCATTTTATCTTTTGAACTAGGACGATAAACAACAACTAAACCAGATTCGCAAGTTTGTGAACTTCAACATCGGCATTTTTTGATTTCATTCAGTTTTAGGTTTTAGGAAAAATTTTTTTTTTCAAGTTTTCGCCCAGAGAAGAATTTTCAAGTGCTGACCGGTACTATCTAAGAAAAAGCCTATCTGCCCCCGTTGACGGTACCGGACGGACTAGCGGCGCTGCAGAACGAAGAAACCGCAGAGTTTTTTTTTTAAATCTATGTAACTTTTTATTTCACAAAACCCGGATACAACTGAGAATCAAAAACAGTCCTTATCATAACAAAAAGAGTTCATTTAACGCTGCCGCTCCTTCCAAGGTACCGAGTACGGAAGCGGCGTTGGATTTCCAAGGACAAGCGCTGACGAAAAAACTCGGGAGAACGAGGTTCGCCCGTATGATGTGCGAGCCGCTTGCCAAATTTCTGTTACTACGCTGATGAGTGACCTTCCCCACGGATCGTGTGTTTCGAAAGTTAATGCTGCGAAGTCGTATCGGCCTCGAGATAAGAGTACAGCTGGCTTTTTCTGTTTTCCGCTTGCTCGGCTGCAGATCCCGCGGTTACCGACGTGGACTTCAGATGGGATTTGGCTACAGTGTCGACACAATATACGTCCCAGGCCAGACACATGCCGCTTCTCCAGGTGAAAGTGGTGCAGAGTTCGAAAATTATCGCAAATACATCCGGTAGTTCAACAGTGCGAATGTCTTTGCGTCCTTCGAGGTTGATATCGCACCTTTGGCTGGATACGGTCCGCATAACTATACCATACAGGCAAGTTCACCAATATGTCGAAGAAGTCTGTTTCTACAACGGACCTGCGACGGTACCCCATTTCGGCCACGGTACCCCATTTCAGAAAACTTAAAATAGCCTGTGAAAGCAGAACATGTAAGAAAACATAGGAAACTACCTAAGAAAACACAGAAACATAGAAAAACATAATCAAACATAAAAAAAAACATAAGAACATAACACAGGAACATAAGAAACAGGAAAATCAAAGAAAACCTAAAAAAACATAAGAGAATGTAAGAAACAATAAGAAAACTTAAATTTGAATTTTGCATGAAAACATAGACTGAGGTGCCTGACATGTACTTATATGTATTTGGTAGTCCGTGTAGCAGTTGAAAATCAAACTCGGTAGCCAAGTCAATGGTAGCCGAAAGGAATGGTAGCCGAAATTTTTAAGAAAACACAAAAAAAAACAGAAAGCAGAAAATAATAAGACAGATGCCTAAGAAAACAGAAAAAATCGAAGGAAAACTTAAGAAACTAAAACACCCAGAACCCCGTGTGAGTCTCACCTGTTTGTAAGTACGTAGCTTAATCCTCTTTCCGACCTCTTTGGCCGGCTTCATGGCTGATGTACCAAAACTTCCGAAAGTTTCAAATCTGACAGCAGCAAAATCGTATCGCCCTGACAGGAAGTTGTATTTTCTCACTTTTTCGGCTTCGGCCTGGTCGGCTGCCGCTCCGGCCTTCACGCTGGTGTGATCCAAATAAGAGCGGGCAACGGTGTCGACATAGGTTACATCCCACGCTAAACACAGCCAAGGAAAAAGGTGTGATTCTTTGTAGGCGTGTGCCGTTTTCCTGATGCATGCCTCTAGGTTTCGTTCGCGCGAGGATGCCTGTCGAAACCAAAGCCCGTCGCAGGATATCGTTAATGCAGCCATGTTTTGTTCGTCTTCCAGCAGAAGATTTGCAACTTAGCCCACGATGGCCATCAACGGAGATTTCGGCACCGCCGCCGCACCACCGGTGGTCAAAGGAAGCAGGTGCGGCAAGTCGAATGGCAATCTGGTTGGCAATTGGCATCCAGAGGTAGTGCATAATGCGCAGCGAAGAGTAACTCACCGCACTCGCGTTACAGAATTTCAACGCTGTTTTGTTCATGTCGGTTTCCTGTGCGGCCGGAGTTTATTCTACTACACGCTTCCGGAAAACTGTCTCTCCATTTGTTGTGGATGTTTTTGGGAAGGTTACAGGTTTTTACAAAATCAGCTTGATTTACTAAAGAAATATGTCTAAAGAAGCTCGGGAAAACCTCACTATACAATATAGTAATTGCGCATAGGCGCATCAGGGATTTACTTACACCGAAATCAGCGTTCACTTACATACAAGGCCCGATCAATCCTAGCTAATCTTATCAAGAAAGATATCGCGAAATAAAATGTGAAAGCAGAATGCGTCACCGATGGATGACACACAGCAAAAAATACAAATGCGTTGGACCAGTAATAAGCAGTGGATCACCTAAGAAAACGCAAGCACTGACTGTTAAATGAATCTTGCTGCGTACACACAAACGAATTGTACAGCAGGGTCGCAGGCACGTTTTAATCTGCATGCTTGAGATGTCATTAATTAATGCAATAACTTACAACTTAATTGAAGAATGTATTACATTTTCTCAATGTAACTTAGCTAATTAATACGCGTTATTAATTAATGTAATTAGACTTAATTACAGTAACGCAACCTACACAATATTACAAATGTGCATTGATAATCTAAGTGAGGCGGATTATTAATGCGGATTAATACTTGAGCACATTTTATCAGCAAAGTAGCAATCAGAATGCTTTAATATTTACTACGGGACCAGCTGGCCCCGTAGTACGGGTGACCACTGTGTAAAGCTCGGTTGGCTATGCACAACAACGGAGGTGAATGTGTATGTGAAATAGAAAACGCAGCATCGAAGCTGCGTTTTGTAGTTCATCTGTGGATCACGTAGCGGACCAATGAGCGCAGCCGTTAGCTTTCGGCTTGAGAAGGTTGTGGTGACTAACTCACGTTATCTTTCACGGGCGCGCAAAAGAGCGTTGTGCCCTACTTCAGCAAAAACTTCCGCCAAATGTTTAACCAGGTCTAATCAGCACTACAAAGTATGCAAAACGACGCCAGTTTTCACGGCTTGCGTGTATGTCTGTCCGTGTTAACCGGGACGGTGTGCGCAAAACACGCAAGACGCACGTACTTCAATAAGCGACGCTGACATGTACAATTTACACGTGCTGTTTATTGCCGATATCTACTAAAATTACTACTTTATTCTTTCTGGCGTCAGAAATATAAATGCCCTAGTTCGCAACTTAAAATCTCACCAAGCTGACATCGCACAACAGCAGAATGACAGTTATTTGCCAAATACCTTCCTCTGGGTAGCCAGATAAGCGGGAACCCGCAACCACATGAAAAAGAAAAATCACAAATATGATCGCTTTATGGCATTATCTGAAAGCTTTGGTTGAAATTATTTCACATACTATCACAGCCGTAAAATATTGAAAATAGTCATGTGATTGTCTAGCTTACCATGCATGGCTTTCCAATCAATAAAGGCTGGCAAGAATCAATCACAGTTCTCAAAAGGTATCAACAGCATTAAAAACAGCTAGCTGGCTAGCCAGCACGCAGGGTTCCCCACAAGATAACGGAAGAAACGTCAACAACAATGTTTTGCAGATTCCAAGAAAGCGGAAAAGATTTGAAATTTTTCCAGCTACTTCTTAGTCTATCTGCACAACTTGCTGAAGTACTTGTCCACAAAATATGTGAATGGGTACAGGGTAAACAACACATGCCCATAAAACACTGATTACAGCTCAGACGCAAACAACTGGGAATCCAGTGAGCACTAGCAGGCTACCCTGCATGATCTCCGTCAGCAAATCGTTAAATAAGAAAGCCTTTCATGCGGAAACGCCATTTACTTATGTGGATCAATATTTTAGAAAGTAGACTGAAATTCAGTCTATATAAGTAATAATCTCTAATTTAGTCTCTAAAATAAAGAGCACAGCTAGCAAGTTTTTCTTGAACTCAAAGTACTGAATCTGTACCACGTGGTTTCGAATTTTGCCATTGGCGGTGGGCAGCCTCGATCTAACTCAAAATGCTAACCCTCCAATCAAAAGCGCAGAAACGCGAAGTTTGTAAGTAACAGGGCGTCGCTTAGACCCGTTACAAGGTACGCCCATCTGTGTAACGGTTTTCGTCGCCGCTCCGCGACAAACTTCGAGCAAAAATGGACTTACATCCAAGCCCAGCCAATCAGGCGTTTTTCGAGCTTCGATGTAAGTAGGTAAAGGGTAAACTTTGTAGGTAATTCGTGTTGGCGCACGGACTATAATGTCTACGGAACACTGCTACAGCCAATCAGAAAAATCGAAAATACAGTAACCCAGTAGTGCCTTCAGTAGTGGTACAGTATGCTTGAATTTTTCGGACTTTTAAGGAAGGACATTACGTACTAGAGCAGATTTTCCGGGTCCCAATTCAGAAAAATCTCATCTTTTGCAGAAACATAGTATACCATCGTAGTATAATTAAAAAAATAATCCCAGCTGCTGAGGCTCAAAGGGCGTGACCAAACAAGATTAATCAGTGCGTAATAGTACGTACTATTACATTGCAATAAAGCAACACTCGTAATTTCAGCATACCAACGTATTACGAATAAAAAACAATTTAATGTGCAAACGTTAAGACAACAAATTAAAAAATCTATTTGGTAGCTGCGATTCACTGCATGGTATTGCAGCAGTGCGTACCACATACTGTCACAGCGTTTATACTTTCTATTCTGAATTTTGAATTCTGGATGAATTCCATATTTGCGGCATGGGAACCTTTACACGGATTCCCTGTACAGTATAACAGTCGTACACTATCATTCGCCATTCGGCAAAAGATGAGAATTTCTAGATTCATCATTATCACACAAACAGTTGTAAAGTGTACTGCGCTTGTTCATTGCCGTAGTGTGTGGTACTGCGTTCTGAATATTTTGTTTGACCACGCCCTTTAATTTGAGTCTCAGCAGATAAAATTATTTTTTTAATAATACTACGATGGTATACCACGTTTCTGCAAAAGAGATTTTTCTGAATTTGGGCCCAGAAAATGTGCGCTGATTAAGTACTGCTACAGTATCTACAGTATAAAGTACAGTACTTCTTGGTGGCTTCTACTCGTGGAAAAAGCGATGTTCTGTGTGCTTCAACGAAGTTCTATCACTTCTATGCACACCCTCTGCGCATTAATAGCTTTTGTAAAAATTCTGTAACTGCAATGAACTTTGCGAAACTCGAAATGATTTTGTTAGCTTCCAATAGTAGGCAGAACTGCAGGCCGCGGTGCAGCAAACGAGATATACTGAATCGTATTTCCGATTTAACGTACGTCGAAAAAATTTTACGGGATTTTAGTGCGTATTTAAATTTTGTAACTCACCATTGCGTTTTTCGCCATTCCCCATGCAAACGGCAAAGCAATAGGAAACCAGTTAAAAATCGGTTCTCTGGATTTTCTCAGAATCTGACTGTCAAACATGATAAACGCAACAACAGCGCTCGACCCCATCAGTAGATTAATAATGTAAGGTTTAAGCCTTTAAGGGAAGTGGCCCGGTACATGGTACCAAATTTGTGTACATGTACGAAATCTTTCGCTTTCGCGCACTCCCAAACCCATTTTTCTCTTGTTTTATGACATTCGGTAGCCAAATGATTTGTATACAATGGCGTGAAAACCGTTTGTGCGCGCAACATCCGGTTCGAGAGTTATGGCTGTTAGAAAATTTCAAAAAGTTTAAATGCATTCCGGTGTACCAAAAGTCTCATTATGGACCGATCTCCTTCAAATTTTGCACGTAATTGCACATGGCCATGAAGATCGTTTCTACACCGATCCACTGTTCTAGCAAGTTTTTTAAATTTTAAAATGAATTTCAAAAAATTTAAAATTAATTTGAAAACTGGAAAAAAATCATGGAAGTCTGGATCGGTGTAAAAACGATTTTCATGGTTATGTGCATTTACGTGCAATATTTGAGGGTGATCGGTCCATAATGAGACTGTTGGTACACCTGAACGCGTTTAAATTTTTGGAATTTCTAACAGCCATAACTCCCGAACCGGATGTTGCTCGCACAAGCGGTTTTCACGCCAGTGTATACAAATCTTCTGGCTGCAGAACGTCATAAATCGAAACAAAAAGTGTTTGGGAGTGCGCGAAAGTAAAAGTTTTCGTGCATGTACACGAATTTGGTACCATGTACCGGGCCACTTCCCTTAAGGCAAATACAGCGAACACTTGTATGTTTTTGAACTGAACAGAAAGTCATTTCGGGAAGGAAGTTCGAAAGTTGAACTTACATGATACAGGTTCATGGTTTTACTCCTAACTCGTAACAGTCGACGGGGTGGCAAACTTTGTCAGCGAAATGATGATAAAAGGCGTCTCTCACCTGCTTCGTAAGGGAGCTTCCTAAGATCAGTGTGAAAGACCGGCTTCAAGTCGACCCGACTGCCTACATGGGTCAGCAGCATTGCCGATAGGGCTTCGATCATCCACTGCGCCGTCTTAGGGTCCGCTGCCAGACTGATAACAACGAACATGCAGCCATCTCGTTGGATTTGAAGGTGAAATCGACAGCAATCCCAAAGGGTGGCCAAACGCACGTCACCCTTCATCGTATCGCTAAAATGCTTGATGATCCGCGATCTGTCCGAGGCATCGCTCAAAACATACTGCGCTTTGTCAAACGGAACGAAGAGTTTTCTGTACATTAGCCCATCAACTCGGTATAATAGCGGTGGCTCTGTGACCGGAAGCTGGGCTGCAATTTGGCGTTTATCTACCAGTTCCATGCGACGCGGTCCAGAAGCGCCATCAGTTTCGCAACTCTGCGTTTCGACGTAAAGGACTTGGCAAGAACGGCATGTAGCAACGCAACCGACCACAATTCCAGGCCGAAAGCGAAACGGTCCGTCATCTTCATCGCGGACAGCCACAAATATTTGCTTACAAAAAATTAACCCATACTGGGGAGGCATAGCGTCCTCATGGAATGGCAAAGGCCAAACGCGGCCCAAGTGGATCCAGCTTGGCTTCACTTTTGTGGACCCAAAATGGATAAACGCGTAGTCTCCGGATATATTCTGAATGTTTCCCAGCCAATAAGCGTCGTTGTCATTGCGAACGGCGACAGTGTTCTGATAGCTCATTTGCTGAGCATCAAACAAGAGCCTCTTATACGGAGGCAATGACGTTGAAACCATCTTTTTCCGAGCCTTGGACCACTAAGGAACAAAAGAGTTGCTTTAAATGAGAACACCAATAAGACAACAAGCATTTTGGAAAGTGCAGCAGTTTATTGCGATCACTGCATGTCTGCAATCTGCCTGGTCAAGCTGACACTCCTGAGAGTCGGATGTCTTCCATTTATTAGAAATACAATGGCATGCACTTTCTAACTTTGAGTCTCTGAATGATTTCACCGACCTTTTTTTTTACAACTGACAATAATATACAATATTAATAATATAATATAATATACAATATTGAGTTAAATTGTGCACCCAGTGAAAAGTACATACCGTTTATGCCAGCAGTAGATCTCTAATTTTATAAACACACATATAAAACAAAATATTATCGCGTGTGTAATTATATTAATAGAACTACTCTACAACTATGGAACTATTATATTACAATTATATTAATGGAACTCTGCATTGAATGCAGATTTGCTTATGCATCAAACGCACGATACCATTTAAAATAAGTTAGCAGTTATGATTTAGTAGATTGTACACGTTAAATTACGGCATTTGTCTGCTTCTCGTAAAAGCCAGATCAGTTGTATCCCGGATCAAACATTTTTTAGGTCATGCATAATCATGATGAAAGCGTTTCAATCAGAAATACATGTGTATCCGTGAAGAACCTCGAGTGGTTCCTATTTGTCTTAAGGCGAAATGGCGTGCTTGGGGTACTCCGTAACGATTTTTGAGAAAAATTACCATTGATACAGTAACACGTAAGCTACACGATGGCGTATCGGAAATAACAATCGGCCGTCTCCACTTAAAAGAGTGAATTTTTTTCAACAACCGGTCGGTGAAAGAAAACAGTGAATTAAACCTGCCTTGATGCAGTTGTTTCTCTGTTCAGTAAAAGCTGCCGCTGTTTCGTAGCCGGCGGTATCGGTTCGGCTTTGGGCTGCTTTACACCGCGCGCGCTGCTTGTGTGGACGATGGCCACTTGGCGCTATCGTATTGTCAGACTGAAGAGTGCCGAGCAGTGATTATCATAAGGTTAGGGAATAATTAGTCGGCACAGGTACACTACCACATTTTATGGCTTTGTTATTTACACAGATGACCACTGTCAGCGCCAGCTGATCAATAACAATCATGAGAACAATCTTCACACATGTAACAAATTGCTGAGCGTTTCATCTGCAAGAGTATGATGCAGATTGCAGAGCAGTTTATCAGTATCACTCTAACCGTGGTGACCGTTAGCATATAAATTTATTCAGGCTGCGCATTGCTATCTATCAATTAAGAGCTAGGTTATTAACGTTAGCATAGGTGTGCTGCGTGAACGCAATTTTGGGACCTAATGCAATTAGGTGGTTGTCCCGGGTTGAACTCAAACTTCACTAAGCAATTAAGATAGATAGGTGTACGCCTGAACGGGCCCTTAGATACAGAACACTGTAACTCGGGCGTCCAATCAGCGGTAAGGGGGTGGTAACAAAATGTTACAGAACTTCCGGCACTGCATCTTACAGAACCCATTTAAAGTGCGTTTCGAGTGGTACTACTGTAGTATGGGTAACTAGGAAATTTGCTTGAAGCTATAACTTTGGTGCCGCATAAACCTGTGTTTCTAAGTTCCCCTTTTGCAAATTATCCCAGTATTTTAATTATTTTGGCACAATCTGCTTGTCAAAATTCTACTTGTTTGGTGAGAAATGGACTTGCGAATATGGACCAAACAGCGTTGTAGTTTACGGGCGAAATTGCGTCCGCTCCACCAGCCTTTGTCACGTGATCAAAAGTGACCTGTGGCATCACTTTTATTGCCTTTATTGCAGAACTGCGTGCGTTTCAGATTTGCTACAATTTCGAAATCTGCTACGTTTTCGCTTTCAGTAGATAAGGTAAGGTGGTGTCCGAGAAAGGTAAACGGGCAACTTGGGATATTCAAGAACTGCTTTGAAGAACAGGAAACAGTCACTAGATCAGCCTCTTACTTCAGATCGCAGACAGACAGCGTGCATTGTAGAATACTGCATTGTTAACACTCGAGTATAAGATGTCCCTCGAAGATATGTGGACTGTTATGTGGACAGGGAGACTAGCGCTAAGCTCATCGCATACAGGTTCAATGTGCGTGTCTAACCAGGACACATATTCTCCCAATCTCCCTCCAAATTCAAAAAATTCTCATATTTTATAAAATGGTAGTGTACTATTGTAGTATGCTTAAAAAAATATTTTTAGCTGCCATCGTCAAGGGGGCGTGGCCAGACAACAATTAAAAGTTTGCATACTACCACATACTGTGTACTGCAGTGCAGTACAAGTTTAACACCTGGTTGGAATTTTTATTTGGCATCCAAAAACCGCTATCGATAGTCATATTTTTAACGTATTGCGTCATTCGATTCATATACGTATCAAGCAAACAAACCTAAATTGTTAAATGATCAATGTTTTTCACTTTTCGCTTAATACGGTTTCGAGTTCTGAAAGGTATTAATTCTGCAAAAATACTGGCAGACTTACTTACTTAAAAATACTTGTCGCTAGTTAAGTTATCATCAAACTTCCAGTCGATTTCTTGAAATACCTCGGAACATGAATGTTAGGAGCAAATGATTTTACATTTTTTGACATTATAGCCGTAATCAAAAGTCGAAACTAAGGATGGTTTAAATAAAAGCGCAATGCGCATCTTCCACGCACTCTGGAACTAACACAACTACTCCGCGCACTCAGTACGTTGTAAGACCAGTGAGTAAAATGCTGCAATATGGTAAGTAGTAAGTACTGAAAATACCCCCTAGGTCCATAGTCCATACGGTTCTATACCGCAGACAGTGCGATCACGATGCCAGATAGAAGGGTAATACACGTAGCTCAGAGGCCATGTCAATCGAATCGCATATGTGTATAATGTTGGATTCAGGATGAATCCAGGGCAGCGTCCCAGACTGACAGGAACCTGAGTAGCGTGCTATGCTATAAGCTATGGATAAATGTGCAACACACGACATCCCGCTAGCAAGAGCAAACTTTATCGACTGAATGAACAACTGACTGAGGCTGCACTAATCGGAGAGCCACACACAGTGTGCGCGCACCCGCATTAGGCGCCACCCACGCACGTGGTGCGAACAAAGAACGGCTTTAGCCGTCAGCCAATGAGAAACGAGACACAACACAGACCGCATAATCCGTGGCGTAGCCCAACGAAGGTGAACGCCAGTGAAGCCATCGCTCACATGCCTCTGGGTGGGATGCCGAGCTCCGCCGAGGCTGAAGTCCTGTCTCCGATGAATCCATCTCGTTGAATGTCTGTGTGTGCTAATAGAACATCATATTGCTCTTATCCCAATTTATCACATCAAGTCTATTATAGACAATTCCAATGCGCGATGTGAGAAATAAAGAGATCCGTATCAAAATACTATTCCATATAACAGTTAAACAGATCAACAGTTAAAAAGATCAACAGAAGCAGTTAATCAAATCATAGACTAGGATCCTCCATTTGACTCGCGTAGGTCACAGGCCCTGTCCACCGTTTTCCGCATCCTCGGCTCATTCCGCTCCATTTGAGCAACTTCGCTCGTCTCTTGAGCAACTTCGCTCGTCTCGAGCACATGAGATCCGCTTGAGAGTTTAGTGCGTATCAATTGTACGTCTTCGGAATACTGCTTCAGCTTTGGAATAGGTGCGTATCTACTGTACGACTTCATAATAAGATCCATTTAGGTCATGGAGGGACGTCATATAGACAAGCGTAGTTCGCTTCCTCCCTGGTGAGATCATCCTTTTAGCGAGATGATCATGGGTGTGCGACATCGTCAACACGATTTCCGGTATTGGTCTTGGAGGAACATAGCCATTTTTGCATCGGCTTTCAAGCACATTCAGCTTGCCTCCTTAGTAAAGTTCATCTGGTCGCACGTCTCATCGTTATTATCAGAGAGCCGGCGAGGTGCACCGTAGCTGCTCCGTTAAGAGATCCGGCTAATTACCGTAGATCCCCTCACTGAGATGAGCACATATAGGAGAGCCGACCTTAAGCCGTAGCAACTCCTATCAGGTCAACTTCACTGCTCCATCAACTCATCTCCATCGCCCTGATCTCGCGGTGGGCGTTTTCGAGTTGAATCCGGCTGATATTTATCAGAAATTCAATCGACCGGTTCCACTGGTTTAGCTGCTGCGCCCTCATCCGCTTGAACTCGTATGGCGATGTTCCGTGGACCACGACCCTTTCCTTGTTGATTGCGTTTGATCGCATCCAACCTGTGTCGTGCGTTGTTCTCTTCGCATTGTAAAGTCCGATTTTGAGGATCGTTGGCCAACCGTTGCCTAGCGTCCTCGTACTGATCCCGGATATTCTGGTTCTTAACAGCTCGTTTTCCCGGCTTATTCGGTACTTGCACAGGTGCTAGATTCTGGGATCCGTTCCACACCAGGTGTTCTTTGATATACTCATGAACATAATCTTTCGGTTCGATGTACGGCGTGTCCATGGTATCTCGAATGCGATCGATCCTCTCCTGGTATTGCGAATCGTGCCTTCCTTGCAAATTATCATTCTCGAATCGTTGTCTGCAAATCTCAAGCTCGTTTTTCGCTTTACGAGCTATCGCTTGATGTCTCGATGGCATCCCTAATTTAGCCGCTTTCTCCCGAAACACTGGCGGAACTATATCCCTCTCTAGGTCCGAAAATAGCTGATTCTGTGTCGGGTAATGGCCCAATCTCGCAGCAAAGACCTTCTGACCAAATGTTCTCGAATCCTGGTTGGTAGGGTCTACTGTCAATCCAATTACTGCTCGTGCCGGAAGTACTTTGAATGCCGGGTTCACGCTACGTAGCACAAATTGTGCCACATATTCTCGTCGTTCCTTAATCTCCATGTATTGGAACCGGTGTCCATCCCGTGGTATCGATTGTCTAGCAAACTCGGTAGACCACACTGTCGGATCGGTGTATAACAAGTAGTTGCTGATTCAGTAGTGATCTCCAGTCGACTGAGTCTGCTTGCTCTAAGCTCATCCTTGTAGTCGGAATCCCTTAAAAACTCTCAAAGATGGTGGAGCTGTGCATGTATCATTACTGACTGCTCCGACCCGATTTCCAGTCCCAAGTATCACAGATTTCAGCTCGCTGATCTTCAATATCATCCATATTGTAAGTCTTGCTGATCAACCTCTGACGTTTTTGAGAGTCGTCGAATCTGGAAGTCTTTTCATCTATTTTTTCATTTCATTTTCGATTGTCGTTTCATCTCTTTTTGCTTCTGTTACTGGGTCATTAGTCCCATCTGTGATCTTTTGGAGTTCCTCCTTGAACTTCCTCCACATTTCTCCTCTTTCTGTGATCATCTGTGATAACTCAAATGCAGTCGGTGATCTTTCCTCTTCCACTTCGATCACCTCCGCATCAGCAACTTCTTCATATCCGACGGGTCTTTTAGTCCCGATGAAGACACAATTCGCTTTTAAGTCTTCTGCGGTGAGTTCTCTGTTGGGAATCACCTCATATATGCACCATTTGTCGTCTCCACGTTGAGGATATTCGGCTCCATCTGGAGCTGGTGCGAAGGTCACCTTCTTCTTAACTGGGTAACCGGCTCCCACTTCTCTTCGTTTCCGATATACTTTCAGTTCGAGTATATCCTTATCTGGCAATGGTGGGGATTCCGCTTCCAACTTTTTCCAAAACTTGACAAAGGAGCTCTCGTCTCTTTTCTCCAATGCCTTATAAAACTTTTCGAACAGCTCGTATACCGGTGTACCAAGTCCGGTTGGGAAAATGACCGTTCTTCCTTCTCCTTTATACAGATGATTTACACGGAAGTCCCAGAACAGGTCACATCTTGCGTCTTCCCACATTTCTCCTTCATCGACTATCTCATGTATCTCTCTGTTGAGCTCCGTTTGTAGCTGGTTGATCTTTGGGTCCGATGATCCCGGCTGCTGCTGGTCATCACGATTTTCCCAATAATGCATCCGTTCTTCTCTTGTCATGGTGAAGTTCCGGACACAAGACAACCATTCTTTATATCGTTGCCAATGATATCGCTCGATGTGCTGATTCCACATCGGGATCGTCCTACTTATACTTTTAACTTCCTTTTGGACATGCCCTTTCATGTCTTCGATTGCCGCGTTACACTTGGGCCAGTCAGATAGATCATCTCGGTGAGCATCTCGACAGCACTTCTCACATTTCTCTTGAGGCTGTACTCTGCACGGGTTCTCATTGTAACCGTGATGACAACTGCTAATTCGTTCTTCCAGTGTCATTTTGCGAGGCAAGCGAACGGGTTAATGCTGTCGTCATTTTTATCAGTTCTCACGCCATATATCGGCATCTCTTTATGCTCATCAGATGAGATTTTGATGATCTCCGGTTTCTTTTCAACTCGATCTACTTTCATCTGTTTGATCGCTTCATCACGTATCTCACTTATGACCATCTGCTCGGCTTCCGTGATCTCCTTCAGAGCTTCTAGTTTCTTTTCGAACTTTTATCTCTCCATACTTTTGCAGTTTTTATTCCCAGTGCCTCTGGTACTGGGATAGACTTTGCCCACTCCATTCCAGGTGCAAGAGCTCGTTTTGCTTCAGTAGCTGCTTCGTTTTGTACGACTTCTATCTGTTCCAATGTCATCGGAGTTTCATCTTTCGTTCCCAGTGCCTCTGGTGCTGGGATAACATCTTTATCAGTTCCCTTTTGATCATTTTTCGTCGTTCCCTGTGCCTCTGGTACTGGGATAACGACGTTTGCCTGTTCCATCGGTTTGACCGATGATCGTTTTAACCGGGTCGCTATCTCCTTTTGGATAGCTACCGTCTGCTCGAATATCGATAGTTGAGCAGGTGAACCTCCCCTTCTTTGGTTCATCACTTGCGTTCCCAGTGCCTCTGGTACTGGGATAACCTTTTGATCCGATTTAACAGCTCCTTTAACAAGTTCGGTGATCTTTCCAGCTTGAACTTTAACAGCTGATTTTGGCTCATCTTCAACTTCCTCCTTCCCATGATTATCGATCAGAACGAACTTTGTCGCCAGAAAATCATGTCCCAATAGAACTTGTACGTCATCTGTTTTCGGTCGTACATAGAAGGAGTGTTGGCTGGTTCGTTTTCTTAGGGTCGCAGGTGCTACGCAATAGTGTGTCACGTTGAAACCTGATGTCCCGCTGATTCCTTTAATTCGCACCATCTTATCAGGTGGCAGCAGTAAGACATGGAGACCGTTCTTTTCACAGAATGGTAGACTGATTAATGACGTTTCTGCACCGGTGTCCAACATCGCCATCACCTTTATGTCACCGACTTTAACCTCGTGAGTGTACGCTTCGATCCTTTTGGGCATGTTCCCATTTTGAACTTTAAGCGTACATTTAACTGCGATCAGTGAGACAGGTCCCGGATCCATGTCAGCTGCTGAAGAGAGCACCTGCCCGTTCGCTAAGGTGCTATTCTTCTGCAATATCGATCTCAGATGATCGATCCTATGTGGGACATTAGTTCGGACATCGTAAAATTCTCTCTTCTTATTATCTTTTGAGCTTTTTAAGTCCTCACACCCCTTTTCCTTTGCAGCTTTGACATCGCTGAAGATCTTCAACTTCATTAAGTTGCCTGTTCGCAACTTCCATGTGGCTTTTTGTCACCTCATTGATGGTCTGATGCAGTGTCGCTTTCTTGCGATCATCATCCTGTTTATTGCGCAACTTCTCAATGACTTCGTTTGTTACATGGTCAGCTCGTTTCAGCTCATCTTCTTTGCTGTCTCTCAACTCATCTGGTGATCTCTCATATTCGACCATCTCATGTCCATTTTGGTTCATCCATTCGATCACCTTGGCAGATACCTGGTTGTTCTTTCTCGTCGGATCGAGCTGCGAGGACATCCCATCTGCTCGAGCTGGTGACTTGTCATTGATATCTTTTTGCAGCGCTTGCGACAAGTCCCGGGACTTTTCAGCTCGTTTTATGGAAAATCCGCCATTTGGCAAGTTTTGCAATATAGCTTTTTCTCCATAGTTTGGCGGTTTCTCAACAGGGGGAACATTTCGGTTCTGGTCAGCGAGTGTCTTCTTATATTCCATCTCGTTAAACACTGGGACAGAGTTCATTGACCCTTGAGCTTGTTTCCCGGTAACCGGTGACCCGGTTTCGCAGCTGCTGCATGTCCCAGTAATCTTCTTTTGACATTTTTGCTCTCTGAGATGCTCTCGGCGATACCGGTATCCACATGCCATGGTTTCCGTTAGGTCGGTATGCCACATTTTGCCAATTCTGCTTCCGCTGCAGCATATCTGCATCATCCAGTGAGTCATCTGAGACCTGTTGTGCTCAATCGCTCTCTTTAAGCTGCACTTTTCGCAGCATTAGTTCCTTTTCCTGACCTTGTAAAACGACCTGTTCGTCGTTATTTTTAGCCACTGCACTTGCTCCCTGATCTCTCACTAGCGCGGAGGTGACTTATCGTTTTCCTGTTTACGCCGACAATCTCGGAACTTCGCATGTTGCTTCTTTTTCTTCCATTTTCTTTTTCAAGTTCGCTTTCCGGATGATCTCGTTACGTTGATCACGCCGTTCTTTCAACTTTTCGGCGGTACAGTAAGGTGATCTGTCCTTATTGTTCACCTGATTATCAGCACTACCATTCTGCTGTGATTTCACAGTTCCATTCTGCGCAGGTGGCCTTTCTTCCACCTGTGTTGGCATCTTATTAGCCATCTCACTTGCAGTACCATTCTGCAGTGACTTCGCAGTACCATTCTGCGGCAGTGGCCTTTTGTCCACTTGTACTGGTTTCCCAATAACCACGTCCTTTGGCTGATGTGATGGCATCTTGTTAGCCATCTCACTCGCAGTACCATTCCGCGGTGATCGCGCAGTACTATTCTGCGTTCCTCCTTTATCTGGTGGTTTCGGTTCGGGGAGATCAGCAGGCTCACCGGCGCCTACTGATCCTGGCCGTTTCCCTGGTTGAGCTCCTGTAGCTTCGGGACTTTCACATTCTGCTGTCCCTGGCCAGCGCCGTTCGCGCCGCCACCGTTATTCTGGTTGCCGCCACCACCATTATTGTTGGCGCGCCAGCCACCTCCATTCCAGTTACCGTATCCGCCGCGTCCCCTGCCGCGACCTCGTCCGCGGAAGCCTCCTCTGCCTCCGCCGTTATAACCACTGCCTTGTCCGTTTCCTTGGCCGCCGCCGCCACCATTCTGCTGTTTGAACTGGGCCCAATGCGCAACCATATCATATCCATTCGCGAGGGCCTGTCGCCAGCCGCCCTCGTTTCGAAGCCTCTGCCATTCTCTTGAGGCAAACAAGTTCGGGTTCCGGTTCAGCGGCATGTTGGCCAACATGCAGCTTTGCGTTTGAAGGTTGCCAAATAGACAGTGTTGACACAGCTGTACTCCTTGGGCCACCCATCCATCAATTTGGCCGAACCTCCATTCCTTTCTGGAACCCTGCTGCGGCTGATAGCTACCGCGGTTCTGCTGGTAGTTCCCTTGATTTCGATTTTGGTTGAAGTTACCATTTCGTTGACCATTATTCCAATTGGTGTTTCCGTCTCCGCCTCCATTGAAGTTGCCATTATTGGGACTTCCTTGCTGTTGCTGGGCCCCTACGTTCAGGGGGTTCGGCATCACATTTGCCGGGATCATGTTCTGAGCCATTGGTCTGGCTTGCGCCGATGCCTGTATCGCGGCGACCATGGCATATGAGATGGGCTGCCCAGTTTGGCTATCGATAAAAGTCACTTCCTTTTGGGTTGGAGTTGGCGATCTCTGTCGATATTCCATCTGTTGAGGTGGTGCAGCTACGAACTGGTTCGAAGCCATCTCTACTCGGCCCGAGCGGATGGTTACGCAATCCGGTTGATTGCGTTGTCCTTCAACCATCTTATACTTACCTTCACCAGCTGCCCACGATCGGAAGAAGTCCTTTATTTCCGTCGGCGTTCTGAACCCCTTCGTTTTCAGTGCTTTGTAGAGGTCGTTATCACCTCCACATCCGTCAATCAGGAAGGCAACTGCTTGTAATTCGGTGATGGCCTTCTTCGCTTTGAACTTCATTATCGCTTGATAAAACTGATCAAGCGTCCCCTTTCCAGGTTTAAATTTCCTGGCCATGGCCTCCCGTAAGCCGATCACTTCTTCATCTCGATCACCGAACTCATCTTTGAACTTAGCCATCCATTCCATGATCGTATATGTCTCAGCTTCTGCATCCTCGAAATCGCTTTCTCCGTCAAACCAGATTTTTGCCGGTCCTTTACCGGCACTGGCGACGTCGATGATCATTTGAGCATCGGTCAACTCATATGTCCTTTGTGTCTCTTTTGCCAGCCGAATCCATACGGTGAGCGCATCGCGGTTACCGTCAAATGTCGCGAGCGTTGTTTTTCGTCCCATGGATTTGATCGACCTGGCTAGCTCTCTTGCATCATTATCTTCATCGCGAAGTGGCGCACGCTCTGGAGTGTCTTCATTTCGATTGTTTCGCACCTCTCTAAAATATCCACCACCATGTTCATGGAGGGGACGGCGTTCATCCCGGTTACCATCATCCCTGCCCCTCGTATTAGACTGTCGAGCGAAGTGTGAGGAATCGTCTTGGCTAGTGTGCGGTTAGCTCTCTGATGGGGGTTGATACTCATTATCCTTTTCCATTTCCCTTCCTTTTTCCGTTTTAATGCCACCCGTGCCGCCGTCCGTTCGTAGCGGCATCTCGAAGTGGAAGCTCCCGCGCGTTTCACGTGCCTTACTGTAAACGGGCGGGGGCGTATCGGTTGCATCTCGTTTATTTATAAAAGTCCTTTATTCCGTTGGCGTCCTGAACCCCTTTGTTTTCAGCGCCTTGTAGAGGTCGTTGTCACCTCTACATCCATCGATCAACAAGGCTACTGCTTGTAACTCGGTGATGGCCTTTTTCGCTTTAAACTTCATAATGGCCTGATAGAATTGATCCAGCGTCTCCTTTCCAGGTTTAAATTTCCTGGCCATGGCCTCCCGTAAGCCGATCACTTCTTCATCTCGATCCCCGACTCATCTTTGAATTTAGCCATCCATTGCATGATCGTATATGTTTCACCTTTTGCATCCCCGGTATCTCTTTCTCCGTCAAACAGGTTTTCGCCGGTCCTTTAACGGCGCTGGCGACATCGATGATCATTTGAGCATCGGTCAGCTCATATGTCCTTTGTGTTTCTTTCACAAGACGGATCCATCCAGTGAGCGCATCGCGGTTACCGTCAAAGGTTGCGAGCGTCGTTTTCCGATCCATGGATTTGATCGACCTGGCTAGCTCTCTTGCATCATTATCTTCATCGCGAAGGGGCGCGCGTTCTTGAACGTCTTCATTTCGATTATTTCGCACCTCTCTGAAATATCCACCACCATGTTCATGGAGGAGAGGGAGTTCGTCCCGGTTACTATTGTCTCTGCCTCTCGTATTTGACTGTCGAGCAAACTGCGACGGATCATCCTAACTTGTATGTGGCTGGGTATCTGATGGGGGTTGATACTCGGTGTCTTTTTCGGTTCCTTTTTCCGTTCCTTTTTCCGTTTTAATGCCACCCGTGCCGCCGCCCGTTCGTAGCGGCATCTCGAAGTGGAAGCTCCCGCCCGTTTCACGTGCCTAACTGTAACTGGGCGGGGGCGTATCGGTTGTATCTCGTTTAACTCCGAATTGTAGGAGTTGCTCATCTTGTGCTTATTTATCATTTGGAGGCCTTTGTTCTCATCTTCAAGTTGACTTATTCTAAGGGTCAGCTGCTCGTTCTCTGTCTTTAATTGTTCCCTCTCTTGTCTGACTTTTTGGGCGTAATCCTGCAGTTTTATGGTTTGGTCATCCGTCCTCTTTTTATCCTCATCTTTTGCTTTGGTAATCTCTTCTCCCAGCTGGTTCACTTGTTGTTCCAATCGAGTGTACTCCTCAGCAGCCGATCTCAACTGGGTTTTGAGTTCCGTTGCCTCGTCTTCCTTGGTCATGACGGTTTGCGTCATGTCGATCAGCTCCGTATTGAATCTTAAGTTCTCCTGGGTTTGTTGGTGAACCTTTTGCTGCCATTCTTTGTCCTTTCGTTCCAGCACTGTGACCATTGTGTCCAGACGGCGGGCTTCTTCCCATCTTAGGCCTTGTTCAGCAGCCTTTTTGCCAGTTTCTGTGAGCACCTTATTCGCTTCCGTCACTTTGTTTATCTCATCTTTCAATCGTTCACCTTCAGTGGCTGTGAGATCTCTCAAGTCCTTTGCCACCTGGACAGCGTCATCAGCTCGTTTCTGATGATCTTTCGATTCTTTCTGGAGGATTTCGATATTTCCGTCCCTTAGTTTCAGGTCGTTCCTGAGCTTGAACACTTCCGTGGTCATTGCTGACAGTCGTTGTGTGACCTCAGCCAGGTTGCTGCGTATTCGTTTCGTTTTATCTCAGCTTCGTTTGCCTTTTGACGCAGTTCGTCACACTGATCCATCAATTCAGTTATGTGTCGTGATCTTTCAGCTGTCTCTTCCGACATGCTCTCGTTGAGCTCATCTACTGCACTGAATTTTTCGACCTCTTTGTCGTCGGCCACCTTCTGAGCCTCTTCGGCGATCTCCTTCTGTCCCTCGTATCTGATTTTCTACTCTGTTGCCATGTTCTCCAGGACGCCCTGTTGTTGCTCCATCTCGTATATACGAGCTTCGAGTGAGCTTAACCTGTTCTGATATTCCTGCTTCTTCTGGAGGATTTGACATTCCTTTTCTTCCAGCGAAGCTTCCAATTCTCTAATATGTCTCTTCAGATTTGAGGTGGGACTGTTTGGTGATGGGGATCGTACGTTGATGATCTTTCCTGTCTGATTTTGTTCAATCAGACTTTCGGGGATGTCCTTTAACGGTGTCAATCCCGGTGCTCGATCAGCTTCCTTCATCGCAGTTCTGAACGACATGTTCATTGTCACGTCGTCCTCTGTGAAGTACGATTCTTCATCCTTCCTGCTGAACTTCGGATCTCAAACCATCTCATCAAATGACATTGGAATCAAATGACAATGACCAAATGACACATGGAGAGCTCATCCAACTTGAGTTCATTGAGATCCTCTTCTGTGACTTTCGACTTTTCATTGAGGTCCGGTTTAGTGAGGCTCACGTTCTTATCCTGCTCCGATAAGTCAGGACTGGCTACTACATCCTTCTGTGATGTCAGATCCATCTCCGTTGCTCGTTCCGAGCTCGTTCATTCTTTAGTGACCTCCTGGTTCACCTCAATACCTCCCGCCGCAGACGCGGGAGCTCGTTTCTGATTATCGCTGGAGCTCTCCTGAGCTGACACTGCTTCGAGTGCCTTCTGGTATGTCATGTCCGAGCCTCGTGAATCCTTCTCCACGATGGCTTTAGGTGCTCGGGTAGCCCTGTCATGTTCAACCGGACGTGTATTTGGTTTGCGTTCCTTCTTATACGCATCTGATGCGCCTTGCTGAGATCGGCGGGAGCTACGGCTTCCCTGACTGCTGTTAGATGTCGGTTCAACGATGTGTTTATCCATGGTTGATCGGATAACTGAGACGCACCTGTCAATTTTTCTCACACACACGTTATGATAAGATCGTTACGATCGTTTCATAGATGAAGTTGTTCAGCTGCTAATATCAACTGAACTGCTCAAAAGCTCACTTCGAGTTCGTTTTTAGGTAGACTGATCGATCTCAGCTCGTAAAGATCACTTTTCGCTAAACTTGTTTCAATTATAAATCAGCTTGTTTCAACTGGGATTAGGTCAATTTCAATTAAAAAGATCGTTCTTATAACAAAATGATCGGTCTTAGCTCGTCGGTGAAGATCACCACCTGATCTGGTCGAAGGTTAGAGGTCACCTGATGAGCTCGATCTGATCGATCTCAGGTGCCAATGGTAACTTTTTCGTCAACTTGTTTCAATTAAAATCAGCTCCTTTTAACTGAATTTAGGTCAGTTGCGATGAAGAAAGTTCGATTATGCTGTTTACCACTTTGCTACGAGATGGTTTAGCTCGGTTTTACCAGTTAAAATTTCGACCAATCGTAGCTCAGAAAACTGACCAATTACGTGCGTCCGTTAAAATTTGCTGACCTGCCTGAAATCATAGGTCGACGGCCAGACTTGCGCGCCGTGTGCAAAAACTCCACCTACACCTAACTCAGATCAGTACAGACCAATGAGAATTGCGCTTTTTACGCCTCAACCAATCCAATAATTAATAACGGTTTTTACCGGATTACCGTTCCGTTTACGCAAAAGATGATCCAGATGATCTCGTTTTTCTTCTCCACAATCCGATCCCGCGCGGCCGTATTCCGCACGGTTGTGGCGCCTTCCTGTCCGACCTAGTCAGCCTTCTGCTGCGCTTGTCAGGCTAAACAGCAGGTCGCTCTACAACCAATTTGATGGAGCGCGTTAAAACTGATCTTGGCACCTCCTTCGGTGCTGCCAACTTGTGGCTTCTCGGCTCTTGGGCCGACAGCCTCGACCTCTACAGAGGAACCCACTGCCTAGCAGAGGAAACAGCACAAGTTCCCCGACAGGAGAAACTCGTACCGCAGCCGCCTGCCGTCTGACTTGAAGCACAAGACGAGTTCTCCTACAAAAGATACTCGAGTCAGTGCTGCCGTTGACGCTGGCAATCCGATCGATGAGGTGCGCCTTGCTCGTTCAGATGAGGAAAACCAGTGCCTCACTAGTGCAATGTGATCGATATCGATCCAGATCAATATGGCCGTTCGCCAGACAAATAAATCGATGTGGCCGTTTGCCAAACAAATAAACAAATCAATTCAGAAACCGTCGGTCACGGCTCTGCTACCATATAATGTTGGATTCAGGACGGATTCAGGGCAGCGTCCCAGACTGACAGGAACCTGCGTAGCGTGCTATGCTATAAGCTATGGATAAATGTGCAACACACGACATCCAGCTAGCAAGAGCAAACTTTATCGACTGAATGAACAACTGGCTGAGGCTGCACTAATCGGAGAGCCACACACAGTGTGCGCGCATCCGCATTAGGCGCCACCCACGCGCGTGGTGCGAACAAAGAACGGCTTTAGCCGTCAGCCAATGAGAAACGAGACACAACACAGACCGCATAATCCGTGGCGTAGCCCAACGAAGGTGAACGCCAGTGAAGCCATCGCTCACATGTGCTTAATAATGCAGCGTTCCGTTGTCACGTTGTGCCGTTCTGCTTAAGACCCCTGCTTCGAACACGAATATCATTGGCAAAAGTGTCACTTTTTGGCCATGCGGATTGGCTGTATTTACGGTTATGTGCAATTATGGTT